GGATAACCTCCTGAGTTGATATGAGCATGTCCGTCTGTCCGTCTGTCCGTCTGTCTGTCTGTCTGTCCGTTTCTACGCGAACTAGTCTCTCAGTTTTAAAGCTATCGACTTGAAACTTTGCACACACCTTTCTTTCCTTTGCACGCAGTATATAAGTCGGAACGGCCCGGATCGGCCGACTATATCCTATAGCTGCCATATAACTGATTGATCGGAAATGGTATAACTTTGGTGTTTTTAGAGTTAGAGAGTTCAAATTTTACAGGCAAGCTATTTTTGGCAAAATATTACGACATGCCAAATTTCATAAGGATCGGCCGACTATATCTTATAGCTGCCATATAACTGAACGATCGAAAATGACCCAACTTTCGTGTTTTTGAAGATAGAAAGCTGAAACTTAATACAGATTCTATTTTTGGCCAGTTGATCCATCCTACCTAATTTCATTAGGATCGGCCGACTATATCCTATAGCTGCCATATAACTGAACGATCGGAAATGGTATTTGGTAGAAATATCAACTTTTGTGTTTTTGAAGATAGAAGCTTGGGACATTTTTTTAGATTTTTTATTTTAGTTAATTGGTTTTATTATGATGTAATCATAAGGATCGGCCAACAATATCCGATGTTTGCGATATATATCCGGTTTTAACTGCAAGGGTATATCAACTTCGGCTCCGCCCGAAGTTAGCTTTCCTTTCTTGTTTTTACTGTAGTTACTGTTGATTGTGCTGGCAGAGCCATGTGGGCTGGGCCCTCGACTTGGCTCGGCTATTAAGCCATTAACACACACACACAGGGCAATGCTAATTAGCTCCGGACTCCAGGCACTCGAAATAATATTTTAATTGCCCGCAATTGGTGCGTAAAATTCAATTTACAGCGCGGAGTTAACGCGTATTAACTTAATGCTAAATGGATAATTGTTGGGGCCTCGTTATCGCTTAAAGTGTTATCACTAAACGGGCTACGAAAATTGGGGTTTTTCGAAGGCTTGGAGGTTTCAACGGAAATGTTTTAATAAAGAATTTTTGAAATATGTAGCTATTATATGTAAGTATTTCGTAAGAAGAGTAGAGTATTTTTTGGTAGAGTGGTATTATATTATAGAATATTTTTGTATAGTATATTATAAAGTATATATTTAGAGTATATGTAGTATTATAGAGTATTTTTAAGAAAATTTAGTTTTTTTTTCAAGTCTGTTATATTTCTTAAGTTATTGTATTTTGTTAAGAAATGAGTATACTCTTTTTTTATACTTCCTTGAAGGTATTTTTAATTATTAAGTTACTTGAGCATTTGAAAACATATTATTCTTAGGATCTTTGGAAAATGTTCAATTAGATACAATAATAGAATCTTAATAAGATTCAACTAAATTAATTAGCTTTTTAAATACAAAATCCTCAAGAAAGGTAAACAGACACTTTAAGAAACATATTTGGAAAGGTAAATGTTAAGAATTGAAAGAATAACTAAATAAATAGAATAACTAATTGAAAGAAGTAGCTCTTTTCACAAAAATTAAAATAATTTTTAAAAATTGTTTATATTTTTTGGACCTCAAGACTAGGTATGAGCTAAGAAGCTAACGAAGCTCAAATCAGGTATATTTTAACAAAATGCACACTATTGGGCTAAAAATAGGACAAATCTTTAAAATCGCAATCTTTTAGAATCATTTCTTAAGAGGTTTTAGTCTTCTAGTATTTTAAAATTAAAAAAAAAAGTCGAATCAGATTTTCATCTTCAGTTCAGATGTTTAGTCATTGAATATTCCATAAATATCGTGTTATAGCACGAAACAAGAAATACTAAACCTTTTCGATTTTAAATATTTAAAAAAAATAAAAAAAGTACTGAACAATAGTTTGCTCTACCCTGAGGATTCATATGTATCTCCAAAAGCGAAATAGGGTTAGTTTGTGATATTAAAATATTAAATATTAAACTAATATTTTTCAAGAATCATGGACCAATACTATGGACAATTATTAGGGATATTATAGTAAAAGTTTAAGGGGATATCAGCACTCCCCCCTTAAACATATTAGCTCCACTTTTTTTTTTAAAAAGATCCCCTACGACTTATGTGTGCTTTTTGGTTCTTAACCACATTTCCATAAACACTGAGAAATGATGGCCGTTTCAATGCCACTTTGAAAATTTATGCGACTGTTTTTGGCCTGAAATTTGCGAGTTTTCTGTAGTTGTTGGCCAGTAACTCCTTTCCAAAACGCTGGCCACCTCGGTCTTGACTCCAAACTCCGACGAGTACCCCCCTCTACGAGTGTATATATGTGGATATTATGTGTACACTTTATTTTCGCTCTGTACTCTCAACTGTGTAAAAAGCAAACAGCAATGTGTTGGCTTATCTAACGAATACAAATATGCACAACGGCCCCATATACGCACATTGATTGCTTAGCGTTCGCTGGGGCCATTGAAGTTGTGCCGGCTGTCGATGTCAGCAGAAGCGAGGAATACAAAAAAAAAAAAATTAAGGAAAAAACAAGATAAATAAATAATAAAAATATAAATAAAATAATATACAGAAAAGGCTGGAAACGACAGCAATCAACAAGTCAACTTGGCACACACAGCTCCGATGACATCATCATCCTTAGCCGCATCGGATTCCATATCGTCATCTGCTGCAGCGATCTACAGTGGCTATATTGCTTAAAAGATACCATAGTTTAATTTATGATTGATTAGCTTTAAATAAACTTTTATAAGAGGAAGGGAAATTATAGAAAATATATTTCTGGTTTTACTTGAATTGGAAACAAAGTTTATCTTAAATTAAAGTTACTGTTGCTTTTTAGAGACTTTATTCTCTAAACTTTTACAAAGTTTTGCATCTAAATATATTCTAGAGTTTCAGGAACTATCATAAATATATAGTTTCTAACATAAATATATAGAAATTTATGAACTGATTATTTCTTCCAGTCAAAACTCTATAGAAATGTTTATAATTTTAAATAAATTCTCATTGGCCTTATCAAATAAAAAGCAAACACGCCTCTTGAGTAATTAAAATTACAGTGACGAAGGCGCTTCAAGCGTTTATTGAATAAATATCCATTTTGGTGACGAAATGAGTAGTTCTTTGTTAGAAAATAAATAAAAATACTATTTTGTGCCTTTTATTTGTTTAAAATAATTTAAAACTTTTAAAAGTGGTGGTTCTGCAATTTAGAGAATTTATTAAGGGGTTATATACAGTTGTGATATATGAAAAAATCGATTTTTTTTTATTGCATATTCTTTAAGTATATTCTATTGGGTGTACTCCCACAAAAATTGATAACGATCGGAGCATTAGATCCGAAGCTGTAGCTATTTATAGCACACTATCTGCATATAAAACTTGAACAAACTTGAAACTTTAAACGCGATTATCTCAGAATCTTTTTTTTGGGCAATTACCTTTGCGGTGGACACGATTACTAAAAAACTACTAATCCGATCAACACCAAATTTTGACCACATAGTTATTATGATATTAGCTAGTCCGTGAACGAGGGATTTTCCATTTTTTTGAAAACTCCCTTTTTAAAGCACAAAAAACGAAAATCTTATACCTTGAAAAAGTAAATTTTTTGTTTCAAACGTCGCCATTTTTTTTTTAATCAAAATTTTAAAAAATCCCTCGTTCACGGACTAGATAATACAATATACTAACTAAACTTTTTTGAATTTTGGATTTCGGATGAACCGTTTTCGAGAAATCATGTCCACCGCAAGACACCATCGAAAAAAGACGATTCGGGAATTCGGCTATAACATTTTTGTTATGTAATATCTTATTATAAAAAAATTTAATTAAGTACCCAGAAACATGTACTAAACAACGTCGGTAAAACATTTTTCATAAATATTTTCTATGGTGTCAAAAAAAAATCGATAAAAATCCATATTTTTGCGCGGTACAACTGTATATAACCCCTTAATATTAAAATCTTAATTGGTAGTAATTCTTTGAAGAATGTTTAAGATGTAAGAATCGGACTATTTTTGAATAACTTAAGGACTTTTAAGAACTTCCAACTTAGTGTTTAATATACAACTTTATTGAGTTTCTAGAGGTTGATTTCTCTAGTTCCTAGGTCTATAGTTCTTAAATATAGGTCCTAATTGTAGGGAACCAACTGTAAACCTAAGATTCCCAAAAAAAAAAAAACATATCTGAGATGATTAAGACATCTTATCACGTCTCTATAGAAACACTTAAAAATTAAACAAAATTCTCAATGACCTTTACAAAAAAGACTACTTTAGCAGCTAAAATTCCAGTGACGAAGGCATTTCCATCAAACATCCATCAAACTGTATAGAAACAAATTAAAATAGAAAAGTCATTAGATAGTAAAAACCATATGTTTCTATTTAGTGAATTACCACTGTAGTTTCCCTTTTTCTATCCATCCATCTTTCTATCTGCGTATCCCATCGAACGTATCTTTGAGGTGCCGGCCTTGGCAGTGCAGCGATGCAGAATTCTCGTCTGGCTCGGGTTGCTTTCCGGCGATTCGAGTCGACTTGATGGCCCGGGCATCTTGGGCCGTTTCCGGTACCTAAATCGCTAAAATAACACCGAACCGAGGTGGAAATTGAAATTGAAATGCCAACGAAAACGAACGACGAGCGTCAATGGCTCATCACGCGACGTTTATGATGATGATGTCGATGGTGTGCGGATGATGATGTCACATGATGGAAATTATGTTGTTTTATTTCGTTAAATTGTTGTTTGATTTGTTTATCGGTAATTGCCGGCACGCGAAGCGTCAACACTCAGCCCGGCATTATGCAACCGCTCCAAGGGACAACGCTACTGGTTACTGTCCAAGCGATGCCCCAGTACCCTACATTGTGGTCAGTTGGTGGGGTTGGAAATTAAGAAATTATAATTCCTAGACTATAGTACTTAACTAAACCTTTATGCGATTACTAATCTCACACGTTGTTGATCCTTTCCAGGCCTCTACAATCGATGGCCGTCGCAAGGGCGCCTGCCTCTTCTGCCAGGAATACTTCATGGACCTGTATCTGCTGGCTGAACTGAAGACCATCAGCCTGAAGGTGACGACGGTCGACATGCAGAAGCCACCGCCCGATTTCCGCACCAACTTCGAGGCCACACACCCCCCGATCCTGATCGACAATGGATTGGCCGTCCTGGAGAACGAGAAGATCGAGCGGCACATCATGAAGAACATACCCGGTGGCTACAATCTCTTCGTCCAGGACAAGGAGGTGGCCACGCTGATCGAGAACCTGTACGTCAAGCTGAAGCTGATGCTGGTGAAGAAGGACGAGGCCAAGAACACCGCCCTGCTGACGCACCTGCGCAAGATCAACGATCACCTGGCTGCGCGCAATACCCGTTTCCTCACCGGCGACACCATGTGCTGCTTCGACTGTGAGCTGATGCCACGCCTCCAGCACATCCGTGTGGCCGGCAAGTACTTTGTGGACTTTGAGATTCCGGTAAGAATTCCTAGGGTCCTGGCATGTCCCTAGAAATTGTCAAGAATGGAGAGCTAGTGTACATATATTTTTGTGACGATAATAATCTAATAATTTTCCTTTTAATAATTTTTAATTAATTATTATTAATTAATCTAATAATAATTTTCGTGACGAAAAAAAACTTAATATTTCAAGAAGTTGTCTTCAATAGTAAATCATTCATAAGTAATCTAAGGTTATACATTTAAATAGTTCTCATTATCTACATATATATCCTAAACTTTTCATTAAAACGTCTTGGCCTTTGGTCATATTTCGGTGACGAATGCACATGCAAAGCCAAGAATATTTAATACCCTTTTGGTGACGAAAACAGAATTATAACTACCTAATTATATTATGTTATATCTTTTATAATAAACAACGTTTCAAATTTTGAGAACTCGTAAGAAGATTATTAAGAAATCGATGACTATTAGTATAATTATTTAATAATTTATTCAATTCTATTAAATATTATTTAACTTAATAGAGAACAAAATAGAGCACAAATCTCTATGCAGATCCATAGTGTGTACATTTTAGTAGATATATTAGTCCTACTTTTAAGAACAGTTTCAAGCTTTTATTCTCAAAAGATACATACAAGTAAAGTAAACATCATATAAAAAATAAGTAAAGCATATAATATATTAATGTCAGACTTGAACAAGATTTCCAGAGAAAAATCGCAACCAAAATTACATCGATTAATAATACGCTTCCGATGCAATTTCAATGTTATGGCCATCCATAAATAATTGTACTCGTAGTTGCAGGCAATAAAAGCGGGTTTAATTGGAATTATTGTATATGGACTATAGCCAAGTGCTGCTATTGTAGAGTCGATAATGATTACGTGATATGGAGTGACTCATGCCCCTTTCCTCTTGCTTGCAGACGCACTTGACGGCGCTGTGGCGCTACATGTACCACATGTACCAGCTGGACGCCTTCACACAGTCGTGCCCGGCCGACCAGGACATCATCAACCACTACAAGCTGCAACAGGTGAGTAGCATACACATATAGAGCCATTATTGAATTTGGATTTTAATGCGATGATGCAATGCTTGCAGAGTCTCAAAATGAAGAAGCACGAGGAGCTGGAGACACCGACGTTTACCACATCCATTCCAATCGATATTTCGGAGTAGGTTTCCTCGCCATGCAGCCCCCCAATACAATATTTTGGATAACTTTACAATATCAAGCCGAAAGTAATAGAAGAGCAGCCCCACACACGACCACACAACTTCAGCTAGGACTATACACATAAATGTATACTTAAAGGATATAACTACCCATGCATATATTATATATATACTACTATATATGAACGAGTACATAACAAGTGTTCTTTAAGCAGCCGCGTTGCCTTTCCCCAGCTATGCTTAATTTAAATCCTAATTTTAAATGAAAATATCCACGACCTTGACTCTAATTTGCCCCGCCTGCCTGTTTTTTTTTTTTTTTAATTTTTGTTTTTAAATAATATCAACGAACTGATTTGTATTTGAGATACAACTGAGATGTTCGTCAGGCAAGAAAAAAATATCTAAACCCCCTAAATCATGTTGGCCGCTTATCGGCCTCCAGATTGGACTTCATTTTTTTTATTTTTCATTCGAAAAGGAGCTTTTATTCTTCGTGTATCTGTACTGTATTCCTATCTTTATTTTTTTTGCGCAAAATTATGATTTTGGTTTTTTTTTTTAACGCTCCCCGGCGCAAGTTGCCATTTTGTTCGCTTTTAATTTTTATTAAAATATTTTTATCATAACAAGAAAACAAAACAAAAAAAAAAAAATATGAAAAGAAAATATGAAGAGGAAATGAAGAGTATTTTTTGTATTTAAGTGAAAAATTACAAATAAAAAACACAAAAAGACAAAAGCAGGATTTTTACTCAAAGATACTTATATACATAGATACTATATAGATTACAAAACCATTAGTATTAAGTCTTCAGACTAATCCCGCATCGAGTTATCCGACACCTGGTTCCGGTTACGAGCTGCCAACCACGGCGTCTTAAAGGGTCTCACGAACTGGACATTGTTTTTGAGGCAGTCGGGCCGCAGGCTGGCGGGCAGGAGGCTGTGCAGGAAGAGGTTCGTCAAGTAGGCGGTAATGCCCCACACCCGACGCGGCTCCACCTGGAACGCGGGTATGCTGTAGCCGCTCCGGAACTGAGTGTGCCGGGTGGCCTGGGGCTGGATCATTGAATTGAGCGGCACGGTGAAGACCTCCTCCACTTCGTCGTGGTTCAGGCGCAGCTCGGCCATGTCGAAGTCGGGAATCACACCAACAACCGGGACAATGGACGAAGTGCGCGGTAAATGGATGACCATCGCCTCGCCCCACACTTGGACGCGGTGGCCTGGCAGACCGATCTCCTCCTCCGTTTCGCGCAGAGCACATGCCACGTAACTGGCATCCTTCTGGTCCATTCTGCCGCCCGGAAAGGATGGATGCAGGCTGTGGCTGCGGAGATGTCGGGAGCGGCGTGTATACAACAAGGAGACTTCGTCCCTGGTGGGGAAGGATTATATAATCTGGGAAAGTTCAGTCTGCGCCAGAACTTACTTGCCCCGCTCCTGGCAAAGCGCTATGAGCACGGAGGAGAAGTTCTTCTCATGGTCGCTGGGTGGCAAGCCTCGAGGTCGCTTGAAAACCGGCAGCTTGTGCATATTCTCCATGCACTTGATCCTGTTTTCCGCTCCCAGGAGATACTTATAGTTCCCGGCGCTCAGCTGCAGGGGATTGGTCTGTTCCGGCTGAGGGCCAGAAGTGCTGGAGGTTCCTAGGTGGCAGAGCATTGGTCTATTCAGAAGTTGCAGACCCACCTTCAGAAACTGGGAGGAATAGCTGTAGCTATTCAGAAGCACAAAATTCCGCACAAAAGTAACCGACATCCTGCTAGTTTGGCAACGAAATCCCCATTAAAAGGGTGGTCTTTGAGAACCATACTGAAGCTATCAAATGCAGTGCTGATCTGTACCTCTGTAGGGCTATATCTTATCCCTATCTAATACACTTTGTAAGGCTCCATAAACGGTTATGGGAAACTAATGGATTACCGAGGATTACCGAAAGAATTATCAGGTTTTTGGATGATTACACCCTTTCAGAGGGTATTATAACTTTGGGCGCAAATAAGAAGGCATCTTTGATCCTGTCAAGTATAAATACATCACATACTTTTGGGTGTGAGCATATAAGAGTTGCAAAATTTCTTACATTTTTTTTCATAAAAAATAAAATTATATTTTCAACGTACAAAGCTGGGGCTTCCTTTATAAACTGCATATGTCGACAAAATCCTATATAGTTCAACTGGCAGGGTAGTCAGATCCTAAAATTTCTGAAAACCAATGAAACATTTAATAATTTTATTAATATTAATTAATTAAACAGTCATGCATTTTTTACGAAATCATTCAAATATTAAAAGGTGATCTAATAATTAAATTTTATTATTATTCATCACATTATATTTATTATGTGATACTATTATGACATTACGCTAATTATTTATCACATAGTATTTATTATTATTATCAAATTAAATTATCAAAATTATTATATTTGAAATATTTGACTATAATTTTTTAGTTTCCAAACTCTATTCAAATGTACCTTCATCATTTTTACACGAAAATTCGTGGCAGACAATTTAATTTGAATTCTATATTAAATGAAAAAAGAGTTACAACAATTGTTATTTCAGGTCAGGTTAAAAATGTTGAAATACTTACGTAGAGCTTGGCCACCACCAGCCAAAACCTTTTTCCTTTGCCCAATTCCGATTAGGATCGTCATCCACATCTCGATCAAAGGTGGAAAATTTGATGCCCTGCAATAAAATGTCAAGTTCATGTTGATCCGGATGAATATAACACCAGTCCATGCTTTCTGTTCTATATCCTGAGCTTTGGTTGCCCACATTAAAGTGTCGGCATCTTTCTGTGTGGTTGAATCTCGCTGAATCCAACTTTATAATCAACTCATGAGGATTTTCATACGTCAGGCGATGCAATCTTTCCAGACCGACAAAGAACTCATTGCCCATCTTTGATCCGGGTCCGAATCCATTTGTATATTCCTCAAACGTCTTGTTGAATGTAACAATAATAAACAATAATACCAATTAATTAAATATGTTGGAATAAACGAAAATAAAAAACAAAAAAAGTATACAAACAAGTAGTTTGTTTTTGTAATTAAGTACTTTTTATTTCAAATAAACGTTTTGTTTATTTTTGAAAAGTAAACCGGTTCGTTTTCTCCCGCGCCATCGATAGTTCTATCGATAAGAAGTAATATTGCTATATCGACAGCGCAAGCGCAGCCAACTTCACGTCGAAGCCTAATCAATTTTCGACGACGCGCATAAATTTTGAAAACAAAATATTGATAGAATCAGTTAGTAATACTACATACAAAAATGCATCACCTGCCCCGCAGGAACAGCGAGTTCCGTGAATATGCCGCCGAAGAGCCTGGTACCACCGATAAGCGGCAGACCAGGTAAGCTGTTTGCGTTTGTTGTGACGGAATGTTTTTATATTATTATTTTACTATTTTGGCTTTTCGCAGATCAAAATGGACTCTAACAACACCCACACCAAATTTAACAACAGCAAAAATGAACAAGCGGTAGGCTTTTATAAGTTTATTAATTAGAAACACTGATATTACAGTAAAATTATAAACCATAAAGAAAGACGCCACCCTTTTTATCTAAGTAGTATTAAATTAGCTAAAATAAATGTATTTTGCAGACCTTCCCACTCCCGTTTGCCGCAACCCATGAATCTGGAGAGAGATCGAGCGAGTCAGATGGGCATCACCCCGATGAGGAATACCCGGGGTCCTAGGCCCGCGTCCGTTGAGCGACCTATAGCTCTGCACTCGGATAAAAGCTGGGTGTCGGAACGAGCTCAACAGATTCTTGAATATCTGAGCAATACACAAGGAGGCCTGCAATGTCTAGGAGCCGACTTCTTTGCTCGTCCTGGTGGATTACGGAAGATGACCTTCAAGCAGTTCCTTGGCATCCTGAACTTCTTTTTTCAGAATGTTTGGCGTAATAAGGTTACCGTAGGAGCGAATCCGGTGGAGGATATAACAGCAGCTCTGCAAAAACTCCACTATCCCCATCAAGTAAGCAAATCCTGGTTGAGTACGCCTGCAACTCAGCATTCTTTCGGCCATGTCATCGTGCTGCTGGATTTTCTCATGGATTTCGCCCCACCGTTAGATACAATGGGCTCGGAGCCATTCCCATTCATGGAGACTGCAGAGCAGCCCAGTTCGTACTTGCACAGCATCGCCGAAATGACAGCCATGTCCACCACGCATGCTCTACACGCTATCCAGCTGGACGAGGAGCTGAATGCCTTGCTCTTTGAGAAGAGCGCCGAGTGTAATCATTTTTGGAATGAGGAACGCGCCGAGGAGGAGCTACAACTTCAGGCCAGGGTGTGCGACATGGTCATAAGCAGAAAGAGTGACTTTTCCAGTCGTCAAGCGATCGACAGCGAGATTGGCAACCTAAACTCCCAGATATCGAAGCTGGATGAGCAGCTACATAATTCCGGGGAGGAGAAGAAGCTTCAGCAACTGCAAAAGCTTAACCAGGACAGGGAGCAACTATATCAAAAGCTTCGTGCTTGCCAGGAGGAGATAACCCAACAGGAGGATGCTAAGATTGCTTTGCAATCCAAGGGTAAAGAGCTTCAAGAGGAGATACAGCGCCTAACCAGAGGGGAGAAGCATTTACGCAATTCCATTGCCAATCAGAAATACACAATCCAACAGGTTAAGGCTTTGCAAATGCAGCAAGCCGACCTCAGCAACGAATCCCAAGTATACGAACGGCAGGTGAAGGATCTTTGCACTCGCGAATCCAACCAGCAGGTGATGCTTTCCAGAGCAAAGAAAAAACTACTGGACACCATCGAAAGCTTCAATTCGCATGTCCGCCACTTCAGCGACTCCGTTGCTGCCCAATTGGTTCGCAATCAGAAGTGGGATCTGTTGTTGCCTCTGCAGCCGCAGAGCAAAGATGACATCCTGGTACGAGCACGAGTGCTGGAGGAATTCAGCGGCATTGTCCAGCAGCAGAGGCAGCTGAAAGAAAAGAACCGCCAGGCCCTGGAGAAGGAGATTAACAAAATCCAACTAAAATGCGGAAGCTGCAAGCAGGAGATCACCAATCTGGTGTCACGGCTACGAGTGCTCAAGCAGGCTTTGCAAAACCTGGAGGGTACCTACAACACCAGACGCGAAATGAGGCGCCAGCACCAGGAACAGCTTGACGAGGAGCAGTTCCGTTTGCTCGACAGCCTGGAAAAGATGCAGCTGTCGGAGCAACAGCTGATCGTCAAATTGGAAGTCAAGAAACAGCGAAACGAAGAGCTCCTTACGGCGGCCGAGGCATACCAGGATCAGTTGTTGACCGAACGTCACGCCTACCTCGACGACTACGAAAAGAAACTGGCGGCAGCCCAGGAAGAGCTCGACGAGTTCAATGCGACCATAGAGCAGACTGATATTATGCTCGAGGCGAAAATGCAGCTGTTGGAGAGCACAAAACCGGCATCCTTCCAACCAGTGTTAGAGGCCCTGCAGGGCTTAATGTAAAACTATTAAAAATAGTATTTATTTAAAATGTTAGGTGTCCCAGATGCGTAAATGTCGTTGTATTTATCCTGAATCCCCAGCACATATTTATAAAACCACTCTATCATTTAGTTTTTTTTTTTATATCAATTAATTATAGTATGTTGTTTAATATATCTGTAAAATCTTAAATGAAAATGTTTAAAAAATTAAAAATTGTGTGTTTTTACTGAAGGATAAGGGAAAAGGGCGCAGGGGAACGCCTGGAGGAAGGATTTTCCACCAGGATGCAGTGGGACGTCACAGTTTCCGAACTTTTCCGGAATTTTTCCCAATTTTTTGAGTTTTCCGTAATTTTCCAGAATTTTTCCCATTTTTTTCCGAACTTTCTTGAGTTTTTCCGAATTTTTGGATTTTTAACAATTTTTCAACTTTTCCGATTTTTTCCGAAATTTTCTCAAATTTTCTTCAGTTTTCCAGCATTTTCCAGAATTTTTCTGAATTTTTTTAATTTTTCAGAATGACTTGCACTTTTTTTTTTGCGGCTTCGAAAAAGTGGATTTCGACCCGCTACCAGGCTCGGAGTACCAGGCGAACAGAAACGAACAGTAGGTGGATTCTATTTTTTGAAACTGTTTTTTGTGAATAACTCGGCCATTTGGCATCCAATCGTGGATTGTGATGGCTCAAAAAATGTGGAAAAATACGGCCCATCTAACTGGCTAACAAAGTCTGGAATTGGCCAAGTTAACACGGAGTGGCTAACAAATTTGTATAAATATTTATTTTTAAAAGTTCGTTTGTTCATAACTCGGTCATTTTCCAACCGATCGGGAAGCATGGTACCATTCCAGGATCAGGACCTTGATATCCTTCGAACTGCATCAAAGGATCCTTATGAAGTCCTGAAAATACGATACTGATCCTTTCCTAAAGTATGATTGCCGCTCGACATTTTGTTGTTGGATTCTGAAGATCCTTGGATGCAGATCGAAGGATGTTCATGTTTTTATTCCAAAATTATATTCCATTTCAAGATCGGTTGAAAAACAACCGAGCTATAAACAAACCAGTTTATAGAAATATATTTCTAAGCTAATTTTCTTTACCATTCGGTCTTAACTTGGCCAATACCAGATTTTGTTGGCCAGGTAGATGGGCCGTATTTTTCTGCATTTTTTGACATACCACAATCCGTGCTTAAATGCCAAATGGCCGAATTATTCACAAAAAACAGTTTCAAAAAACAGAATCCACCTACTGTTCGTTTCTGTTCGCCTGGTACTCCGAGCCTGGTAGCGCCCGGAAATTTCAAAAATTTCAGCCTCTGAAATCTGTGACGTCACGGATTAAACTTGGAACTTTTTAAAAAGCTTGGGAAGCGCGGGCGGGAACTTTTTTTGAATTTGAATTTAAATTAAGCGGATCGTAATTGGATCCACATGGCGCGGGCGGGAAATGTAATTTTTGAATTTGAATTTAACGGTCTTCGATCAACTTACAATCCACACAAGTTCCACATAGGATCCACACATGATCCACATATGGTCCACATAGGATCCACACAGGTCCCACATTCCACCAAAGACACAAACCTATTCAGCCAAGACACAAACCTGTGGATCAAAGCTCGGCTCATGACGTCACAGATTTTCGAGGCTGACATTTTTTAAGTTTCAGGCCGCTACCAGGCGTAAAGTACCAGGCGAACAGAAATGCATAGTAGGTGGATTCTATTTTTCGAAAGTGTTTTTTATGAATAACTCGGCCATTTGGCATCCAATCCCGGATTGTTGTATGTCATAAAATGCAGAAAAATACGGGCCATCTGCCTGGCTAACAAAGTCTGGTATTGGCCAAGTTAACACGGAGTGGTTAACAAATTTGTTTTAAATATATATTTTTAAAAGTTCATTTGCTTATATCTTGGTCATTTGTGCTCCGATCTGGCAACACTTGGCATTTTCGGAATCAGCGTCCCAAAATCTATCGAACTGCATACCAATTTCGTCGAAATCAAACAAAAAATTTTTCGGCGAAAATCGAAAAATATCGTGATGTATAGCCTTTCCATTTTTGCGAAAATTCGGTCGAAAATGAGTTGTTCGATATCGAAAATCGTGGTATGCAGTTCGATGGACATTCGAGCGCTGATTCCGAAAATGTCAAGCGTTGCCAGATCGGCTGGAAAATGGCCGAGATATAAGCAAATGAACTTTTAAAAAAATATATTTAAAACAAATTTGTTAGCCACTCCGTGTTAACTTGGCCAATACCAGACTTTGTTAGCCAGGCAGATGGCCCGTATTTTTCCACTTTTTTTGAGATATCACAATCCACGATCGGATGCCAAATGGCCGAGTTATTCACAAAAAACAGTTTCAAAAAACAGAATCCACCTACTATGCGTTTCTGTTCGCCTGGTACTCCGAGCCTGGTAGCGGGTCGAAATCCACTTTTTCGAAGCCGCAAAAAAAAAGTGCAAGTCATTCTGAAAAATCCAAAAAAAAATCAGAAAAATCCAGAAAATTTCGGAAAATATCGGAAAATTCAGGAAAAGTCCGGAAAATTCTGAAAAATTTTGGAAAATGCATAAAAATTTTGAAAAATCCCTGACCTTTTGTGAAAAATTGAGAACATTTTTAAATCTTAGGAAAAATCAGGACCCCCCTCAATAAAACATACAAAATATCCTTAATCCATTTTATTTCATATTCTACAGAAAGATCCTCCATGGGTTGCGGGAGATGATCCTGTGACGATAGAGCGTTGATCCTTTTTGATTGACGCTCCGGCATCCGGATGAAGCTGGCTAACCTGTGGAATACAAAACATATTAGGTCAATCCCTAAAAATATATACATCATAACATCGACTAAGGATATTGAAGCCCCTATTCCGTAATATTACGTCGTTACGTGGCAATTTTATTTTTTAAACAAAACAAACACAATTTTTTTATAATTTCTTTATGTTTTGGAGTACAATTGGATAAGGTAGAGTTGGACACAGGATCATGGTACAAGAATCCTGACCGGACAGCCTCTAAATATCATGGAGGTGGTGACTACCCGGCAGGAGCCTTGACTCGAGCTCTATAAATATCATATTTCGTTGAGTTGCTTATTGCCAAATGGATTATGCTCTCGTACTTTACGTTTTTCTCGTTTTTGGATAACAAATTGCACTTGGAACGGCTTACATGGACACAAATGTACACTGAAAGATGCGCGTGGCAAGGGTTTGAGGACAACTAAACATATCCTTATATAGAATTACAATAATTTTGGCCAATTGGTTACAAACTAGGTAGGATCAAATGCATAGTTAAGTGGAAAGATAAGCAACTTTGCTTAATCAAATAAATTTAACGTAAGAAATCATTTAAGGACTTCACTATGTTCCTTTCTGTTTACAATTCACTGTGCTATGCCACAGGCTACTTCTGCAATTTCCGACCAACAATCTTGGCCCATTCTGTTACAGAGTTACAAACAATAGAAGTAGTATAGAATATTAAAGATAAATTCAACATTGAGACTGAGACAATTTGTTGCGTAATAAATAATTATCATATAGCTTAGTTCGATATTTTACAAAGATCAATAGTACAGCAGAATTTCCTCTTAAACGATGAAAACATCTCCGCTATTGTGCTCCATCGAGGATGTGGAGGAAGCAGCCACGTCTCCACCGCAACCCGATGGACGAATAGCTGTGGGTTTAGGTTCCTCCGTGGAATTGCTGCTTTTGTCCAGAAGTTCTGCCTCGCGTCCAATCTCAACAATGCCCTGCTGTTGCTCTTGTGTCTCCTCCTGGCCAGCCAGGTGAATGCTAACGCCGGCCATGTCCAGGCCCTCCATATCCTTGTGGTTCTGGAATGTCACTGAGAAATCTAATCCGGCTGCAGCCTCGCTGCCATCGCCCGATTCCTGCCCATTGGGAGCTGCTGTGGGATTCGCACTGGTCGGCGCCGTCGTTATCGATGACCACCAGCTGGAGAAGGCTCCTTTGGCCTGGGAAATGGCCCCGCCAACGGCCCGACTCGTCGTGTTTACCGCCTGGTTTATCTTGCGTCCGCTCTCGCTGTTCTGCATGGTTCTGTGAAAATCGGATTGGATTTAAATATGAATTTAAGGCGTGGAATGTAAAATCATTTATGGTGTGGAATATTTTTCATGGTTTTAGGTGTGTCGTTAGATTATTAAGGTGGGCCAGAGGTTTCGCATAACCTAAGGTCCCTTCTTTCCAAACCTAAAACACCATAAACACTTCCAACGTATACTCACTGCGCTAATTTAAGTTTCATGTCGGCCACGGACAATGTCCCGGCAAAAGGATGACCCGAAGGCAGGGCGTCAAAGAATTCCGCATCTGGCCGCACATCATACCATTCTTGAAAGCACTGCGTACGTTTAAATGCACCCATAAAGTGGGAGTTGAAGTGATCGTTGTCTTTGGTAGTGGCATCTGAAATAAAAAGAGATAGTTATTAGCTCTTGAAACATTAGAAACAAATGATAGATTCTACGATTTACCAGGAGCCACAGAAGTACGCAACAGGGCCAAAATGTAGCCCTGGAATTGTTCACGGATCCAGTACTCGCTGCCCTCGGCATCCTCCTTCGGGGTTTGGACATGTTTCAGTATATAGTCCATGTAGCGCAAGTCCTCAGTGCTTAGCACTAGCTGCCGCTTCAATTCCGGATCGTGTGCATCGAGATTGGCCGCCTCAATGTCCACCAGAACGTCAGCCAGTTGGCGTTTCTGCTGGAACAGCACGTTGGAGGTACCAATGACATAGGACAGGACCATTGGATCGCTGAGAAGATCCATGTACGGAAGCGACAGATATGGTAGACATAGATTGCCGCTAGCGAAGATGCTGACTGGAGCTCGGTATTCGTCAGGATTCACAGAACACAGGGCGGCCAAATTCGCTGTAGGAAGAAAGAATATTTATTTAGAGATTGAACAATATATTTAAAAGATTACTCACATGCTAGAGTGTCGACGCTAGCCTCTCGAGTTAGAGAGCTGTTCCTTCCGTTCGAAGAACCCGGAAAGTTGGATGAGTCTTGGGATTGCGAGTTGGGAGTGGATTGCGGTGAAGTCTCATCCTCATCATCGCCCCCGGCCGATGCAGCCGATGAGACGAGGGCCAGCTCTTCTGCATCGCCCTCGATCGCCGTGGCGCTTTCAGGCGTGAGTTTCTCCTGCTCCTGTTCGGGTTCCGGATGCTGGGGCACTACGCAAGAGGCCAGTTCCGCTTCTGCTTGAGCCTCCCTTTGCAGCGAGTCGGTGAAATCGGGCATCGGCGACAAAGGTCGGGATGTGCGCACGCACGCCACCTCTTGGAATCCCTTTTCCAGCAGCCGGGGAACTAGAGAAGCCATGCCCAGGATCAGGACACACATTCCGCGCACGGGAGAACCAAAGCAGACAACTCTTCGTTGAAGAAGAAATAGTTTAAAAAGCATCAACGTTTTATGGCGCCAGTGAAGCACTATTTCCCGCAAGGATAAGCCTACATGGAAGTGGCGTAGCGGTCGCCGAGACTCGTCGTCCAAAAGGCAGGCGTTGAGCTGTTGATAGGCCTTCACCAATAGTTCCGTGCCAGAGAAATCTCCCTGGTCGAAGAAGGCATCCGCTATCAGGGCCAACTTGACTTCGATGTAACCGTAAATCGGTTGGCGGGCCAAAATGCAGACAGACTTTTGTACCGTGCTACGGGTGAGGTCCGCAGTACGGATTTTTAGCTTTTCCACGGGTATTTGCCGGTAACATGATACGCCGTAGATACTAGCCGCTGGCTCAAACAAGCTTGGTAGGTTAAAGAATACAGTGTCCTCTGTAAAGTTGTGCGAACCATCCGGCAGTGCCAAAGTGGGCAGATATTTCCATCCGGAGGGACATTCATTCCGCCCGGTAGATCCAGATATAAGGGGCGGATGGGAGAACTCCACCTGACAACCCAGTTTGTGGTGAAATCCAACTACCAGGATGTGCAGTATAGGTGGCTTGTTCTCCGGCTCGCTGGCCATCGCAAAATCCTTTGTTTTTTCCACTTCCTCAAGTCTCTGGTTATCTGCAAAATTTCAAATTGCGAAAATCCCAGGGAGCTTTCTTGCTCCCACTTGCGGAATATTTACGGAATGCTTTTATCGCTATCCAATGTATAGTCGTTTCAACGTTCTGACTCTTTCTTTCTCCTGTTTATTCTACTAGTTTTGCAAATGAAAAATTATAATTTCTCTAGAAAAACACTACGTCGCTATAGAAACTCGGATTCTCGGCAAGTGTGTTGCACAGCGCTAAAACTAGAAACTTGCAAATAAAAAGTGTTGTAAAACTGGTCTAAAAGTATTAACTATCGTGTAGACGATTGTAGTGACTTACTATCAACCATCGTATATACGATTGTTGTGCTTGTATCGATATCAAACATATCACTGATATCGGCTGGACGTATCGATATTTAAGTGTTGCAAAATACGCGTCTAGTGCTGGAAAACGTAGTTTCAACTATCGATATTTGTGTGTTGCAAAACCCGATCGCACCTATCGATATTTGGTGCTGCACACCGCCATCTGGATTGTCCAACACATGTCCGACGCCGTTATGCAACACATAAATATCGGTAAGGCTGGCGATCGATAGTTGCGACTGCGCTTTCCAGCACACGCCAGATCACGATAACCATTGGCGTTTTCTAGCACCGTCCATCTGTTATTGTTTTTAACGGGAGGATTTCCATTGATGAGTAGGGATCCTTTTCAGATTCTTTCTTTTACTGAATTCGGCAAGAAATATTTTGGAGTTTGGAGAAAACTTACACGGAAAGCAGAACAAGAACGTTCAGTTGCCAAAAAGTCGCTCCGTATTTCATAATAAGGCATTTACGTTGGCTTGGAACTTATCACCAATGAAAACAGTTGCTGCATTATGGTCCGGAAAATTATCTTTATAACGATTAATACAATTAGCAAAGATTGTAGGTCGGCCAAAGCAGGATATCAACTTACCTGAAAAATTGGATGGCTAAATGCTATTGGTATTCAAGCGCCTCTGGTTTCACCCAGGAATCCATTTATCAACGATTTTAAATGTACTTTTTACATGTTATGGACATTTAGGTGGTAGCTATTCTGTCCCAGTGGACAGAAGAGATGTGAGGCAGAGATGTATGGCCTTGGTCTATTCTCCCAGGGGTTCCAGAGGGGACTCATAAGGCAAAACACGTCTATTGTCCACGATTGCATACCACTATAGGAAGTAAAAATTAAAAATAATTTATTAAAAATAAATATTACCATCGGTTTAATTTTTAAACTATCGTAATCTATGCAATCAATGCATATTTTATCTTTTAATTGAACTGTTTCACATAAAATTTAAGATGCTCTTCATTACAATTGAAAGAAATATGTAAAAATTTGCATAATAATATTTAGAGACCTTAGTCTGTTGAGAGCTTTTAAGGGCCAACTGCAATTTAAAGATAAAAAGCGAAATAATCAAGATTCAAGAGTTACAATTAAAATATTGCCAATTAAAGGAATTGCCCTAAGAAAAAGGAAATAATATATATTTAAGGCTGACTACATTGTAAATAAAGAATTTAGTCAACAGGCAAAGCAGTAAAGTGAAAAACAGTTTCTGAAAATAAACATGAAATATTATACATATAAAGATCTGTAGTCTGGGGATACTATATGGAATATGTATTCCCTGCCTTTGGATGGATGATTTCTTGTTTAAACGTTTTTATATTTTTCTTTCGTTGCTTTGGATTTTTCCGTTGTTTTTCTTTTTTGTTCGTTTTCATTTCATTTAATTTAGTTGTAGCTTATTTTTGTATCGAACATATATAATCTAAAATTGGCACGCAATGAGTTGTTTGTTCTTTACAAAATATGTTTGCCTGGCCTGATCGATAGAATTCTTTTGAATGAAATTTTATTGGAATTCTTTAATTGAAACAGGATTATAAATTTTTATAATTTAGGTTTTTAGGAGGACTAATTATTTACTTTATTCTGATTTGTTGAGATTATAAAAGTAGCAGCTCCAAGATTTGCAATTTTTCCTCCTAGAACAAATGTTGTAATTCTAAAGTATTCTCAGCCAAAAAAGAACTAAATGCAACACATTTTGTATGAATAATTGATTCAAAATGCTATTGAAATTAAATATATTTCCAGACCCTCGATAATGTTTATGTTATCCGCGATCTATGCAGATATGGTCTATACTTATCCGTAAACATCGCCCCAGAAAACTAACCTATAGATAGACATAAAGGAGATATTTTAAATAAATACATATAGGCGCATACTATTAAGAAATATATACATATGTATATAATTATATATATATAGCCGACGTTGGACTTCGTGCATACGAATCGCCACCAAAATCCGAAGGCTATAATACGAAAAGCGCCCACACAAAACGCCCAAAAATAGAACACCAAATATCTGAAACTGTGCTATTTGTTATTCCCAGATTTTCACATTTTTCGATTTTCGAAATTTTCTAATTTTCTGGCTGCAGATGATGTGAATTGAAATTTAGTTGATGGCATACCCAGCCCAAAAATCAATTCAATATATTAAATCATACATCACAATTCGTGTACTTTCAATGAAAGATGGCTGGAACGTGTTGCCAATTTTGGCCAAAATTCCAAAATTTCTTTAAGGATTTATGATTATTTTTCTCTATTTCTTACAAATTTGATATATCTACTATCTAATGAATATCCCAAAACCCCTAGTCTTTTTACTTCCCACCTGTAAGTCCCATTGCACTACTGCAATTTGGCAAATACCTACATTCTCACACTAAACAGAAACCGCCAGACGACCCATATCCGACGGATGCAATCGCTAGCACACATCTATCCCACATATACATATCTCACCAACATATTATACATTTTCGACAAAAATGTTCTAATTTTAAGAGCCAAAATCATTTTAGAGGTAACCGAAAACGAAATCAAAACAAAAGTCCCATCTCTGGGTGGTTGAATAGTAATTGTATAGGTTTGTCTCGAAACTAATATACTTACTTATGTAAATATAGGTTTAAGATATCGTTGTGAAACAAACCAGCTTTTAAATAAAATAAATTCGTCAAGAGTTAAAGTACCTTTAAAGGTGTTCCCTATATTTTGCCTCTTCTTTTTTACAGGAGGTCTTTCTCAAATCATTTAAAATATAATTAGCAATCAGATTTGAAGGAATTAGCCACAAATCAATAAAGTTATGCAGCTTCTGATTCAGAATCTGATGTGAATTGGACAATATATTGCCTTCGGCGTAAAACATATATTGCATTTCAATGATTTCTTCATATTCCCAAGGGGTCTCCTAAAAAATATGTACCAAAATTTAAAATAATTAGTCATTATATTTAAACGGAAATTTATAGGGAATCGATCTTAAAATCTTTTAGGGTATTCCGCTTGACAATACGATCAGTATTTTCTGAGATATATTGCGTATTTTATTCTATATCTCTATTTTACCAACTTGGTAATACAAATTGTTAAGAATTCCATGAAAAATTGAAAAGTATAAAATCTAAATAATAGTTTCTGATCAGGTTTTAATGCAGATAAATTGGCAATTGATTCACAAATCTTGTAAAGTATTTCATTTAAAAATGGGTAAACTGGCGAAGTATATGATGCTATAATTCGATATAATGCATATCATGGATGCCCCCTTATTCCCCTGGGAATTCCACTTATTAAATTGAAAAAAAATTTAAAAAATTATTGGTAATCAGATTTGAATGTATGGTTGATTGAAAGAAAATAGATCCACAAATCTTTGTAGATATCACGCTTGATAATCGGAATAACATTGGACAAGATATAGCCTTCGCTGTTGGCCACATATTGCTCTTTATGATCTATTAATGCAGATCGATTAAGAATATATTTACAAATCTTTTAAGGTATTCCATTTAAAATTCAGATGAGAATAGGCGAAGTTATAGTCTTTGCTGTGGCCCATATATTGCCCTTCATGGATTTATCCTTTTTGCAAAGAGTCCCCTCAGAAAAATTAACAAAAAATTAAAAAAATATGTTGTTATCAGATTTGATAGCAGATTGAAAGGAAATAAGTCTACGATTCTTCTAAGGTATTCTGCTGGTTAATGGGACGAGTATTGGCTGAGATATAGACCACCCTTTCCCCATATTTCACATCCAATAGATCCTTTTCCCAAAAGGGGTCTCTCCAGAAATGAGAAGAAATTTAAAAACAAAATTAAGCATATTGGGATATAATTGGTATTCCGCCTAATAATCTGAAGTTTATCTACCAAGCTGTACGTTATAGATTCCAAGCATGACCTAATAAAGAAACCTTGTAAAAGGAAACCCAAGCCAAAGTCCTGATTCAAAAGTCCTTGTTATAAATCATGGCCAGTAAGATGCATTTAGGGTCAAGCTGAGCAAAAGCAGTCAAGGGACGCCAGTTCTGTAAGAGTATTTCGAACTATTTGGCGAATGTACATATCGGCTGAGAAGCAAAATAAAAAACCAACAAGCGAAAACGGAGAAATAAAAAAAGAAATCGGAACAATGACGAATAGATTCAAGGGGCCAGCTAAGGCCGTTCGACGTCAGCACCGTGATCGAGATCGAGATATATATATATATATATAGATCGCGATATATTTGTAGGGCGTGCACTTTGGGGTTAAAAAGCTGCAATGATCTCCGGTGGAGAAAATACGACAAAAAAAAATGTAAAATATATGGAACAGGAGGAGAAAAGATTTTATTTTTTTTTTTGGGATAATGGCTGTGAAATTTATGTTCTACGATATTTGATTCCAAAAACAAATGTGTAAAAATCCACCAACGCAGTGGCCAGGCTATATACTTATGATCCGGCTATATACCATCCGAATGCTTCTCGCTCTAACTTTGGAAAAATGTTGGATGTGTGTGCGTGGGGACAAGTTTATGTTTCAGTTGCAGCCCACCTGAAAATTTTCATCTGCCCGCCCACAGATGCAGAGATACAGATACAGATGCGCCCAGATACTGGCAGATACTGTGAGATACACCCCCCGACACACCGCCCGCCACTGCCCCAGCAGGCCACTTGTTGCCACATTGTTTAGTATATTTGGCCTGTTTCCGCCCATTCGTTTGGCTAGGGAACGGCGGATCGCTACGGAACATACAACATCTATATCTATATCTAATGGATATATAGAATATAGAGAGGCGGGCTGGCAGAGGAGGCGTGCCAAGGGGCAGAGGCTTTTCCGCGAACGCGAACGCGACGAAAAAATTCTTTAACATAACGTGTAGCAGCACTTTGGATCGTCAGTCTGTTTAGTCGAACCGCAGCATTCGCTCCTACGACGTCAGCTGCTCGGACTTTAGTTGAGATTTCAATTTGTTTCTTTCTCCCTAAGTAAGTTTTTTTTTTTTTCTGTTTCTGCTCTACTGCTGCCGCTTCAACTCCTTCTACTACTACTACTGCTGCATCACAACAAAAGTGCCGATTCCAGAGCACCGAAAAGATCCAAAAAACTAAAAAAAAAAAGAGTGTGTTCCAACAAATCATAAACTATAAACTGAATCTGAATCTGAAAAAGTTATCTAAAATCCAAAAAATATGACCAATCAAAAGCAACTCTAACCAAAGAAACTCGAAAAAGAAGGATCCTTCGAGGATCACTTCTCATAAACGAACTAAATCCAACGAACAATCCAACTATAAGGAAACAAAATTATATAATCCTGTTGCAACCCATGCACATATCTATATTTTTTTGACAATTTTTTTCAAGTGATAAAACGCACCTTATCGAATCCCAGTGAACTGATATCCAAACAGATATATTGAAAAACTCTCAAAAACAATATCATCACTTTTTTTTTGTTGCATTTATTTTTTTTTGAATTTTTTTTATACGTTGATTGGCCCGATGAACAGAAATGGCTAAAAATACAATTCGAAATGCTCCCAGGCTCTGTAAAAACATCAAAAGCTAAAAGCCACAAAATCAACAACAACAGCAGCAGCAACAACAACCAACTGCCAGACAGGAATATACGCATTATACAGATATATATATATATTCTCAACCGATTCGAAGTCGATCGAAAAGTGTTATATGATCTGAGAGAAAATTTCGTATTGTTTTTGTTTTTCGTTTTTCTTTTTGGTTTCATTTTGTTCGAAATTTTAAAAATACATTTTTTGTTTCGTGAGCGAAAGCGTGTATATCTGTATCTGTATCTGTGTCTGTGCCTTACCTTGGCAAATAGTCCAAGACACACGCACAGAAAAGCACAGATCCGTGAGATACAATATACAAACTTTTATGTAGCAGTAGGCGCAGGCGCAGGCGATATAGAGAGATATAGATCTTTGAGATATAGAGAGAGGGAGGGCCTCTATCCACCCACATCTGTCAGATATCCGATTTAGGATCTGGAGATTTTGGAATACGTATAGGCCATGTCCGTGGGGCTAAAAATGGAAAGCTTTGAATGAATGAAACCCAAGTTATGTAGGAAAATTCTAGAAAAGATGGAGAGTAGGAAAAATGCTTGGGGAAAAAAATATTATTTAATTATTAAAGATAGTAGTTTTAGCCAAATATCTACGATGAACTTGAAATATTTTATAGAGAAGAATATTAATTAAACTAAAATAGAGTTTAGTCTTTTATTTGAAAGGATTAGAAAATAATTAAAAGCAGAACCAATATATTCATTAGAAATAAAACAGTTAAAAATCATGAAAATCATTAATTTTTCAAATATAAAACTGCAAGATTTCACTTATTTCAAGATTTAAAATCTAAAAAATTAGAAGAAAGTATTAGAAATGCACTTTTCAAACAAAAAAGTTGTCAAAAATGCACCAAAGTGACCCAATTATTCTGAAGCTAAAAATAAGTCTAGCAAAAATGCATTTTGATGCAAAAAGTCAAAGGAATTTTGGAAATTATGATATCATAGATAGCTTTTTCTGTAAAATATAAATACTTGCAGTAGCATATTATCAAAAATTCCTATGAATGGAATATTATGTATATTAAAAAGCTTCTCAGGATATATTCTGATTTAGTGCCAAGGTAAAACCAAAAAAAATTACAAAATATTCAAATCAGAGAGAAAAAAAAGCTCGAAATGCTTTTCGCGAGTTTTCTCGCCAGCTTTTCGGTTTTGGGAAATTTAATACTTTGCCCCAAAGTCTATTTTTAATATTAGAAGCATTGCGACTATGGTTCTCTCCCTCGCACACACATCTCAAGATACACATATATATATATACAATATATCTGTACATATATAGAACAGAAAATTAAATAATTTTGCTGCGAATGGAATTTGTTTTTGTTATTTTGATTTTCCTCAGATTTGACTTTCTTTTTGTTTTTTTTGGATCTTGTGAAAGATTATGATGTGATGGGAGGACAAGACATTGTAGCCGGCTAAAAAAAGACAGGTCTCTCTCGCTACATATACCCGGGATATATTTCTCTTATGACAGCATAGCCGAACGCACTCACACATCGGGGTGGTGTCTAAATTTAGTGTTATATGTATATATATATATATATATCGAGGCAATCAAAGGCATATAAAAAAAAGTTGGTTTGTTGCTGCTGCTACTTCTAGTACTGCTACAGTGAAGCTCGAAACTATACCGATCTCTTCTCCATATTGTTCTTGCAGGTTTTTCAACCCTAAACCGTAATCATGTCCGACGATGAAGAGTACACGTAAGTACAATCGATAATACCGATTAATAATCTCAAGTATAAAGTATCTTATGGATTTCAAAGTGACTTGAAGTATTTCGAGGTTAATAGTTCTAGTGTATAAATGGTTAGAACTTTAGAGTAAAGTTTGAAGATTTCAAGAGAAGTATTCGAATCCCAGTTTACTAATTTCAATATTTTTGAAGTTTTGTAAGACGATTTTTAACGTCGTTTTTTTTTCAAGGAAATATAATTTTTTAACACCACATTTTCACACTTACTTGTGGCACCTATTTTGACCTGTATTCCTTTTTATCTATTTCCACGCATTCCCCGGATCATTAAAAAAAAAAAAACAACCACATCCCTCAACCCGTATCGAACCCTGAACCTGAACCTGAATCGAAATCATGACTCTGTTCGAACAACCTCTAATGTTGTCGTTTCGTTTCTTTTGAAATCAACTAATAACCATCAACAACAATTCAACAAACAACCACACGAAAATTCAACAACAAATCAACAATCACCTCTGCACCTGTGTGTGCGTGTTGTAACTGTGTTTTTGCACTTTGCACTTTCACATCGAAAAAAATATATATATCTAAAATTTGAAACACAAAAATATATAAAAACAAAACAAACTCCGTTTAATTACGAATCCCAAAGCAGCTCCGAGGAGGAGGAGGTTGTCGAGGAGACCCGTGAGGAGACGTAAGTACATTTTTGTTGCCGATTTTTGTCAACATTTTTTGTTGGTTTTGGTGCAGCAGCCTATAAAACTATTCGATTGGTGTTCACTTATGTCGATATTATGTCGCTGCACACATAACTATAACTATTTTTTGTCGTTGTCCAATTTTTTGATTTTGAAATAAAAAAAAAACCCTATTTTTTATTTTTGTATTTTGTCCATTTTGTCAAAATTTTCTATATGTGTTGTATTTCGTTGTCAATGTTTGCAAATCAACAAATCGAAAAAAAACCAAATATTTTAAATCGAAATTTTGTATATTTGTGTACACTTCCCAACAAAAAAAAAAAAGAAAAAATAGATCCTGATACCAACCCAACAAATTTGTTTTGTGTACTCGTCTGTAAATAATTTTATTTGTTTATTAATTTTACCATTATGATTTCTGATTTATTTTCCGTTTTCTGTTTTCTGTACATTTTTGTTATTTATTTTGGTTTTTGTTTTCAATGTGTTGTTGTGTATGTCTGTAAAATCCGAAAAAGCAAATAAATCACAAAATTTACTCAAAATTTAAATATTAAAAATCAAAAATCAGTGTCCAATAATTGTACAAAATTTACTAATGGAACCTGAGACCCCCGACCCACTCACCCCCTCCGCCGCCCCCCCAAACGAACACACCCACTCAAGCAACGAGTTCATAGTTCAGCCTCTCATTCGTACCTTCCGAAACCGATACCGAAACCGATACCCCCTAGCTCTAGTCAAATTGGCAAATTGTGTATATAAAAGCTATATGTGTATTATACCCCACCTTTCACCACCTCAATCCACCCTCATTGGAACCTATATAGCTTTCCATATATAATTATTATTGTGTATTTTTGTATTTGTGACCTGTCTTTTATCTATCTGTCTATCTATCACATATATCCCGAATATCCTGACAAGAACTTAAATTTCCAAAGCAGTACAAATTAAATATCTAAATTCTAAAAAAAAAAAAAAACAAATTAAAAAAAAAACTTTTGACAAAAAGTTAACTCTATCTGATTATCGCTGGCCTGGCTTAGCAAAATGTTTTTTTGCTTTTAAGACTTGGAAATTATTGATACCAATTCTGTTTATCTCTCTCTTTCTCTCTTCCATCTCTTTTTGATCTCTTTCTTGTTACAGGAAGTAAGTAAAAAAGTGTGAGAAACCAATGAAAAGAAGAAAGAAAGAACTCTAAATTACCAGATTTCGAAATTGAATGTAATTCGTATTTGTTTCGAATCGAGACTTGAATCCCCAAAACAAAAGAACAAAAAAAAAGAAAAACTGTACAAAAATATTCCTCTAGTGCACAAAATTCAACAATTTTTTTTTCTAAAATCCAATATTGCATTACCCTAAATTCTATGCTCGTTTGCCAATATCCGAATCCGAATTTTCGAAATTTCTGCTCTGTTTCGAATTTTCCATGCATCAGAGAACCAGCACCAGTTTCAGATCCAGAACCAGATCCAGTTCCAGCTCCAGTACCAGATCCAGTTCCAGTTCATACTGTACAAAGAATCGTTGCTTGGAATTTCGTTGACCATTTTACTCGTTATTCGTGTATATTTTTTTGAGTTTTCTTCAGAACAGAACAACCAACAACCAATCAGAAAACAAGAACAAAAAAAACAAAACAAACAACAAATACGTACTTACCACAAAATTAATTATTCTGTTTATCCTCTTATGCAAAAATATCTCTCTATATATATTCTCCATCTTATCTTCTTCTTTCATTTCGTTTACCAAAAACACAAAAATATAAACAAAACAACAAACCGAATTTTGCAAAATGAATTTTTTAAACAACCAACTGTTTTCTCTTTCTTTTCAACGTTGTTTTTTGCTTGACAAAAATGAAATAACGAAACCAAAAAAAAAAAAAAACCAAAAATCAAATCACATTTTGTATGATCTTTCGAACCGAAAAAAAACCCACAAACAAATAATATGAAAATATATATAAAAACCAAAAAAAAATCATCATGAATTTGTCAATTTTTGAAACACAAAACCAAAAAAATTATATATATATATATAAATATATATAATATCACCACCTCCATGTTTGTTGCCACCTCAATGCCTCACGTATAGAAAACCACCTCAGACACCAGCCGAGTAAGTCTATGTACAAAAAAACAAATGTGAACAACAAATGAAACCAGAATGCTAACCAAGACTAAACCCTTAGTGTTATGTTAAGTCGTCCCCCGTATTAATCCGCCTGTTTGTATCAATATATCACAACAAACAAATCAAAATTTAAGTAATGCCATAGAAACAATTTGAAACAAATCCACAAAAAAACAAACCTAAAACCCAAATAAATCTTAAAGTGTAAACTGTACCTCTGTAGCAAGCACTACTCAACATACTCACCACCACTCACCACGTCAGTGCCATCTTTTTTTGGTGTGTTTCTATTTCCGTTCCGTTTTAACTAGAGTAGTACTGCCATTATTCGTAGAATGTAGAACTCTAATAATGCTTTCTCACAAACAGCACTTTTGGTGGCTACTAATTGTAAAAAAAAATAATTACTTTTGGTATATAATCGGAAAATAATAAATCGAAAAGAATATAATCAAAAAAAAAAAACACAGGCCAGGACAAAATTTTGTAATTAATTTTAAAAGCCTAGACATTATAATGTAGTACTAGTGGCTATCTAAGAAATGACTATTCAATGACATGAGACTAATAGATTCTTTTTTCATTCAAAATATCAGAGGAGAGGGCGACCCAGAGTTCATCAAGCGTCAGGACCAGAAGCGCTCCGACCTCGATGAGCAGCTGAAAGAATACATCAGCGAGTGGCGCAAACAAAGATCCAAGGAGGAGGATGAGCTGAAGAAACTGAAGGAGAAGCAGGCCAAGCGCAAGATCTCCCGCGCCGAGGAGGAGCAGAAGATGGCTCAGCGCAAGAAGGAGGAGGAGGAGCGCCGTGTCCGCGAGGCTGAGGAGAAGAAGCAGCGCGAAATCGAGGAGAAGCGCCAGCGCCTCGAGGAGGCCGAGAAGAAACGCCAGGCCATGCTGCAGGCCATGAAGGATAAGGACAAGAAGGGCCCCAACTTCACCATTGCCAAGAAGGAGGCAGGCGTGGTAATTATATGAGATTCCATCAATGCAGCCTACTGATACGCCCATGTCTACTCCCCCCTCTCCTCTCCACCCCCCAACCCCCAAACCATTTGTCTCTTTCTCTCTCTCTCTCTTTTTCTTCCTTTTGGTTCTGTTTTTCTTTTTTTCCACAACCCACCACCCCACCACCCATTTTTTTTTCTTTTGATTTTCTTTTTTTCGATTCCATATTGAAACACCTCACGTGTCCACCTATCCAACGCATCCAACGTACCATCACATTACGATAATCGTCATCGAAACACACTCATCGATTTTTTTAATCGTTCATCGATAATATCGTCATCGAACTTTAATCGTTTGTGTCTGCCTGTTTACGCTTATGAACACAACATCAACAACAACCACAAAAACAACAACACAAACATGTGAAACTGAAACAACAAAACAAATTTTCTGTTTTCTTTTTTCTTTTACACAATGCAACCAACAAACAAACAAACAAACAAATAAACAAACAACAAACACGCATGTAAACACACAACAACAAACACGAACAACAAACAAACAAACAACAACAACAATATGCAACATTCTTGTCCGCTACCATGCGCTATTTTTTCTCTGTGTGTGTCTCTCTCTCTCTCTCACTGTTTGTCTCTCTCACCACTATTGTACCGCACGTACCAATCTCAAATAAAAAAAATTAAAAAACAAACAAATCCGATAACAACCCGGATACAAAATCGAATCGAATCGACAAAATCACGATCGAAAATCGCCACATGAACAAAACAACCAAAAAAAAAAAAAAAAAAACCACAAAAAAAAAAAAACAGCTGGGACTCTCGTCCGCCGCCATGGAACGCAACAAGACTAAGGAGCAACTGGAGGAAGAGAAGAAGATCTCGCTGTCGTTCCGCATCAAGCCCTTGGCCATCGAAGGATTCGGCGAGTCCAAGCTCCGTGAGAAGGCCCAGGAGTTGTGGGAGCTCATTGTCAAATTGGAAACTGAGAAGTATGACTTGGAAGAAAGGCAGAAACGTCAGGACTACGATGTAAGCTTACACCTTCATAACAACCCCAAAATCTCGAAACTAATCTTGTAATTCCCCTTCTAACATTATAGTTGAAAGAGTTGAAGGAAAGACAGAAGCAACAGCTCAGGCACAAAGCCTTGAAGAAGGGTCTCGACCCCGAAGCTTTGACTGGCAAATACCCGGTAAGTTGAAAGTAGTCTCTTAGGGATGACCCATCTCTTTACTAAATATATTTATCCTCTCCTTATATAGCCCAAGATTCAAGTCGCCTCCAAATATGAGCGACGTGTGGATACACGCTCATACGACGACAAGAAGAAGCTCTTCGAGGGTGTAAGTATTCAGTCTCCATCCAAATGTTTGACTCTTACAAGTTTAGGGTTCTATTCCGGGTTATATATACTTGAAACTCTCTCAATATTATGTTCATATATATAGGGCTATAATACGGTCTATGCGGAAAACTTAGAAAAGACCTGGCAAGAAAGACAGGAAAGGTTCACTCAGCGCACAAAATGTAAGCGTTCGTAAACCGATCGGTTCAGCTCCATGAGCATTCCATGTCTGAGTGTTATCCTCTTCTATCTATCTATATCTCTATCACTGTTTCTTTATGTTTTTGTCATAAACTCTATGTTCTATGTTATCACTTAAAATCAGTTCAGTCATAAAAGTACAGTCACGTCAAAGGGTATGAAAAACAAAGTCAGGAGGTGATGAGGTACAGTCGCAACAAAGGGTTTTTGTAGCCAGGTCTTCAGTAGCCATTAAACATTATGCATTTAACCATCTAACTACTCTTTGTTTTTATCTCTTTCTATGTTTTATGTAAACTATATATTTCATAATTGTCAACTGTACTTACGTGCGTGTCTGCGTATCTCGTATAACATTTCATAAAATCCTATCGATTATATCACCACGACACACACTAATTGGGAACACACACAGGGCTGGGATGAGATCACCAAGGATGTGAACGAGAAGATCTGGAACGAGAAGAAGGAACAATACACCGGCCGTCAAAAATGTATGTACTGTAGTAGAGAACAGCAGGGGTACAGTTGATACCAAAACGTAGATTAAAGCTGCGACAAACAACAGAACAACATTCATCATTTTGTTCATTGTCGTGATGTGTGTTGTGTTTGAATATCTCTTCTGTCTGTTGACTGTTGTTTCTTAATAAGAGTTAAATTTTTTAAACAATTACTAATTTGAAATTTATTTTAATAGCCAAACTGCCAAAGTGGTTCGGCGAGCGACCAGGCAAGAAGGCCGGTGAGCCCGAGACACCCGAGGGCGAGGAGGACGCCAAGGCCGATGAGGACATCGTCGAGGATGACGAGGAAGTCGAGGAGGAGGTCGTCGAGGAGGAGGATGAGGAGGCTGAGGAGGATGAGGAAGAGGAGGAGGAGGAAGAGGAGGAGGAAGAGGAAGAGGAGGAAGAGGAAGAAGAGGAGGAGGAGGAGGAGGAAGAGGAGGAGGAATAAACCAATCCACACTGGGATATATCCAACCCTCTCGTCGTCTCGATACTTCCTTTACAACTTTTTCGTAAAAACAAACACTCTACATTTAAATACCAAAGCCAAACAATTTTAATAAAACGTAAAAGAATGAACTAAATAGTTATGATCTTAGCTTATTCGCCCACCAAAATATACTTGCTACTACTATTCAAAATCTAAAAATCAAAAAGAAAAAAAAAACAACATCAACTTGACCAAACTTCTTTTTTTTTTTGTATTAAATGAACTTGTGGATAGATTACCAAGAAATGTAATATTTCTTTCAAAATAAAACATCAAATCCAACACCAAACCAAGTCAAGACTACCAGCAAAAACCAAAAAAAAAAAGTTACCAACCAACCAACCAAAAAAAAAAGAACAAATCAAGATATTAAAGTGTGTTATGGCATCTTATTTATGAAAAAAATTCCTTTTGTTTGTGTGCATGTTTCTCTCTGTGTATCGAACGGGCTTCCAAATTCCACTGTTGGCTTTTCAATGTCAGGGAATATTACTCATACGCCTCATAGGCCTAGGGCTAAGGCATGGCAGAGGCAGAGTCTAGATTCTAGAGGCTATTTATGGATGCATATGATTTAACTATATGCCTTTTTTGAAAATTATCATTATGATATTTCAAAATATCGATATATCAAGTATTTTTGATATTTTAAATTATGTTTACGACACCGATATATCGATATTTTGATACATTTCCGACATTCGAAATATTTACTAGCAATCAGTTGGTCTATTGGTGCTGCTACTTTAGTACCGATTTAGTGAAGTCCGAAAACACACCGATATCTTCTCCACTTTGTTCTTGAAAGTCTTTCAACTTTATACCGTAACCATGTACACGTAAGTATAATTTATAATTTTTTTAAGTAATCTCAAATAAAAAGTATCTTATGGATATTAAAGCGAGGAGCACATGGATGGGGATGGCGAGGAGGTCGAGGAAGAGGTCGTAGAGGAGGAGGATGAAGAGGCCGAGGAGGATGAGGAAGAAGAGGAGGAAGAGGATGATGAGGATGATGAGAAGCCGGAAGAGTAAAAGAATCAACCAAGAAATCAAAAAATGTAATACTTCTTCAAATAAAACCATAACCAAAAGCAAAAAAAAAGTGTGTTGTGGCATCTATGCATAAATTACTGTTTTAAGTTTTGTTTTTATGTGTGAATGTTACTCTCTATGTATGAAACAAGTTCTCCGAAACCAGTTTGGGCTTCTAAATTGTCGTAAGAGAATATATTTTTTTGAAGCTTCAGATAATATTACTCATACGCCTCCTACGCCCAGATTATAACAGTTTAGCTTGAATCAATGAAATAAATAAGCCCTCGAGTGAGACAGGAAAGGCAGAGGCATACTCCATATTCTTGAGACGATTTACTAATAACATTCTATCCAACCCTAATATCATCTCTAATATAATGTAGTACCTTTCAAATGAGACCACAAAAGTATGCTATGGAAAATCCATCAACTTGGTTTGTACTATTCCCTAGTTAAACAATTATTATAACACATTATAATGTTAGTTTATTGATTAGATCGCAATTCGTTTACGTTGAACCATTGGATTAGTTGAATAGGGTTTCCGCTGTTGGCCACTCTTCATCGTCACAATTCCACTGGCATTCCCAATTCCCAGGCAGCACGCTTCACATAGTACACAATACCCAAGATCTTCCTCAACACGATTTTATATGGGCAGCGTCTGGTATAACGACGGGGCCGCAAGTACATCGGAGGGTGCTGCATTGTCATCGGAAGGTGGTACTCCATTTTGATCGGCATAATTGTCACAATCGTCGACTTGCAGTAACCACAGCGGCAACGTACAAAATTGTTTTTTCATATAAAATGCCAAAAACTAATTTTATCTCAAATTTTGGGGGTTTAAATTTTTTAAAAATTCTATTAAAATTAATACTGAAATTTTATTCGGTCCCTTGTGCGGTTTACATCCAAATCGTAGAGAGTCCGAATATGGAATGAACTACAGAGGACAGATTCCCTACGAATACAACTTCCCCGCCTACTGCCATTCCAAAATTTTAAATTTGGTTTTTTGTGGATTGCTGATTTATGATTTTAGTTTTCGTAATAAAATAATGTAACTTACCTGAAAGAAATCTACCACAGGACGTAGTCCTTACAAGGCATAACCCCAATAGCGATGCAAGTAATAGCCAAAAATAAGCTCATCCTGCCTCTTCACTCCTAATGTTGACATTCCTCCAATTGCATGGCCATCCACAGCCATCTTGGAAAACCTGCCGCCATTTTCTGAAACCTGCCGCCATTTTGCGAAATGCTGCAGTCGCCGCCGAGCACAGCTGACCTGCACCTGCAGAGCTGTGACGCACCCTCGCTGCATTTTATTGTATTTCAAGATTTCCACTCAAAAACACTCAAAATATACATTTGTAATAGTATAATATATCAACGTCAGATGCAATCATTATATTTATTAAGGTATCACAATGTTTTAACAGAACAATAACTTCATTTGAAACAAAAAACTTTTATTGGCGCCGACTTGGATTCTTGTTGGTGTGATAGTGATGGTGCTGGTTCCATAGTGATGGCTCACCTCCGATAGTGATGTGTCTTCTTCGATAGTGGTAGTTGTGTTTCTTGCTAATACCTGGTTCGTGGATTAGCTGCGATCGGAGATAGAAGGTGTTATAGCTACCAGGTATGCTAGTAAGCTATGCTATAGTTACCAGCAAAGGCGCGAACAATTTTTTGTTTCAAATTTGAAAATAAATAATAACTTTTAACATTAACATTTTCTGCTGAGCAATAATGTTAAAAATAATTCTGAAGATCTACTCCTGGTCTTCATTCTTGTACAGCATACTGCAATCATAGACTCCCATGTTCGGATCGTCTATATCTTCTACAAACTTCTTGTACAGAATACTGCAATCATAAACCCCCATCTCGGGATCTTCAATATCACCTTCCTTCTCGGAACCGGAATCAATAGGGCTAAAATCTTGAAAGCCGCTTCCTATCTCATCACTGTCATTGCTTCCAGATTCCGAGTCCACCATGAGACCCAGTGGCGGACCGTAAAAATTCTCACATTCTCCACAGAATTCGTCCCCAGTGACACAGTTTGGGCAAAGTTGCATCATTTTCCAATAGAAGCTATCCTTGGAATATTCCATTCTAGATATTTTTTTTGAATTTTTTTTCAGAAATTTAAATTAAAGTTTTCAAATTTTTTTTCAACGAAAAAAAAAAAAAATAAATTTGAAATCGAAAAAAATTAAAAAGAATTTTTTTTCAGAGCTATTATTATTTGATGCGACTGAACACGACAAATTCCAGATTCAGAATGAGCTGAGACTATGCCTACAAGGTACTACCTAGACATGGAATTAGAATTTAAATTTCATAGCCAACTATGAGAAACGATTTTTACTTACTTGAAATTTTTGACAAAAAAAGAAATCAATTTTTCGCTTGCATAATTTTATATTTCTGTTTAACTTTTGTTTCCATTTTGATTTCTTCTTGTTTTGTGGTTGTATAGTATAATTTCATTTAAACGTGTATATTCTGGTTTGATTCGTTTCTGGTTTCTGCTGCTGCCGGGATGCTGCTGTCGTTATCAATACAATATTGTACAATTTACTTAGGCTAAGAACTGCACACAGAGAATGTCTATCTGAATAATATTTAATTTGCTTCCAAGTTGGATCTTTGCAGCGTACAGTTTTTTCATTATTAAGGATTACAATTTGCTAAACAATGCTTTTCGTTATGGTTCCATTGACTTGGGGGGTGAGGGTTTTGGGTGGGATTACTATTATATCATTTTCGATTATTGGGATTGGGATTGGAGTATGTAGTTTAATTTATATATTTCTTTTTTGAGCTCTGATTGTCTGTCAGCTGCAAGTAGATCGTTACTTTAGCACTAGAGTTGGGAATCTCTTCTCACAAAATTTTCCTAACTGCAGCAATTCCACATAGTACATCATCATGTACAATATATGTATATTTTTGTTTAGGGTTATGGATATACATACATAGAAAAAAAATGTCCTCTTAAAAGCTAGCAAAAATAGTTCACGCTTCACATTTAAATACCATATATATATATATATATCTTCTTTTATATATATAGTTTACATACACACAGTCACAAGGACATGTTTCTAAGACTTTTCCTTCAAGTTGTTTGGTTGTGACACAGGCTTTATTTATTTTGTTTATGTTTGACTTTAATTCTCTTAGCTTTCAGCGAGCAAGCATGCTTTTTCACTTCAAATTTCTCTAAGCAATCGTTTTCCCGTATTTATTGTCAGCAATTCTTATTCAGAAATTAAATCGTTTTTAAATGCAACAATGCACGTTGCGAGAGTTTTAACCAGTAAGAACTTAACTTTAACTCTCTGTTTCGCACACGAAAGTACACAGCATTTCGGGACGGACAAGGCTGAATTGTCTGTGCTCTTTTTTCTTTGAGTGTTGTGCTTGTGTGCAAGGCTCTTTCTTTCTGACAAAAAAAAGTTTATATAGAAAAAACAAGAACAGTGGTTGTACCAAACTAAAATGCACTTCAAATTCAGATGACTGACCTAAATCGCTTCAGCTAATATATAAGTACAGTCCTTTCAAAGCGTGGCCAGCGTTGCCAGACATTTGGATTTGAAGCAGATTTCAAAAAGCCAGCAGTCAAACTGATTTAAGCCTAAACTATCTTATCTTATAGCTAGTATATGTATAATCTACAATTCATAGACACTCACACAGTAACATTTACACATTTACATACGTAGGTCAACATCGATTATAACTTGCTTATATATCTATATATATGTATATGTATATCGTTTTTAAGTTAGACATTTAATTTTGGTTATACAATTCAAATATTTATACGGTCTTGTTAAATCGTTTATTTTTTTACATTCAGTCAATTCATTGCAACGCAAAACACGAATCAAAAGATCATTTACAAAAATGTTTTCTTTTCTCAACTCCTTTATAGTTCACGTCTTTCATCCAGCAAATATTTATACGATTATAGTTAGGGTTCTTTGTTAAAACTAAGCATTTTAAAAGCTCTTTCGTTAAAATTGTGTAACACCTCTAAATATTTTATGTTTTTTTTTGTTGCTCTACTGTGTTTTGCAAACTATAAACAGTGCCTAACTTTACAAATATTTTACTTTCTATACATAAACGTAAACAGATGCCTAAAGATGTCCATTTCCATTAGTCCAAACGCAAAAGTTTAGCTAGAGATTCAAAATATCGTATATACACTATTAAAATTTAGTAAAAAAAAAAGAGGCTTACAAAAAAGTCTAAACTAAAGGAATTAATTGTTATATAGTAGTAGAGGTCGGTGAGCGTCTGCCATAAAAAATTCCTGTTCCAGTTACCTAGTCTTCTCACTCTGATCCTTGTTCTTTCTTCAGCTTCTTTTGGTGGTATCGGGCAAGGACTATACATATCATAAATTTTAAGAGACTGCCACTTTGGGTCTATAAATTATACAAAATTTGTGTTTAAATTAAGGTATACGGTAACTTATTGAGCAATGAATTTTATAATTTATAAATCCAATTAAGGTAATGCCTAGGAGATATATGTATAATCAAGGTAAGAATCAAGGGCTATCTAGCTATAAATAAAGTTTAAAACCTGAACCTGCCACTTTTCGGTCTTTTTGTTACGAAACTCGATGTTCTTTCTTTCGTTTTCAAAATTTGGCCAAAGCTGGCAATTTTTTACATTGAAATTTTAACTTATTTTTGTATATCTTTCTATATTATTTTCATAATTGTTTTTTTTTTTTTCAAGATAACATTAAAAAGCATTATTACGAAATACACATCATATGCATATACACATATCAGCATGTAAAATGTCCCAGCCAATACAATTTAAAATTGGTTTTGTTGAGTGTGTTGGGAAGTGAAGTGGAGTGGTGGTTGTGGTTGTGTCCCCGCAGCAACAACATCTCTATCATTATCGGTATCCAAGTTGCAGACATCTCTAACCATCCAAGGCAGAAGCAGGAGCTCAGTGCTTGCCACGTGGCAGTCTTATGGGTATATGCGGATATCATGTATCCGCCAGTGGGCCATTCTTGTTCTTGGCATTATTGTTGCTTCTGCTCTTCCCGTTTATGCTGCTCTGTAATGGCAGCTGCTTTATCGTAATGACATCCTTCGGCTTTTGATGCAACAATTGTTGTTCTCGTTCCGGTTCCGGTTGCCTTTCCCGTATCCTTCCATGATGTTCTCCTTCATCGTTGCCGTCGCCGTCACCATCGCCTTCGCCCTCTCCTTCTGTTTCCCGTTGACGTTGCAAATGTTGCTGCTTTTGTTGATGTTGCTGTTGCTGTTCTGGTAAAATTTTATTGATATTGTACTGATTATTGTTGCTATCCTTATTGTTGCTATTGTTGATAATATTGTTAAAATTGTCGTTGTCCTCACTCGACATTTGCAGCACTTGTTTGGCCTTATTTTCCCACAGCATTCGATTGGCCTTTACCTGCAAATGAAAAACCACAAAAATCTATAAGATACTGAAACTGAAAACTGAAAAATCTTTTATATAAATCTGAAAATCTGGCATGTTTTGCATTTATGTGTATCTCTTAAATTGTATATTTTAATGTATGACCATTGTTGATTCAGCAGCTGTTGCTGATGGTTGTTGGCCCATTACGGCTGTTGTTCTATAGTTAGTTCAGCAACACCACCACCACCACCACCACGTGTGTGCAAACAGCTGCACATTTCAACAACAAAATACGGACAGAGATACGGACACACCCATACACCCTGACAACACCCACACACCTCCTACACATTCTGTTTGAGTGGCAGTCAAAGCAGAAACTTTGGGGCACAGCCAATTGTTGTTCCACTTTGTGACGTCACAATGTGCAAATTAAAGTGCAAAAAGTTGCAAATAAAAGAATTGCGAAAATACTTTGCCATCATCCATGGCACAGAATGCCAGCAATGCCAGTCTTTTCCACAAAAGCCATTCCAACTTATTCCCTTTAATGACCTTTTTTTTTGTTTTTGTGTCCTTTTTTCAGCAACTAACTTTCTCCAATGAATAAATTTTGTGGCAGGGCCAGGAGTGGGGAATGTATTTTACTCTATTTAGATCCTGCTTTATGAGGGATAATTGTCCTTTTAGAGACCCTCCTTAAAATAAGCTTTTAAATCGTTGTTGGAAATATTTTAGAGCATTTAATTAGTTTATTCTCTGCTCTTTGAAAGCAAACATTTATGTATTTTTTGAATCTAATCTTTTGTATCCTTTCCATTTCCATTTCGGATTTCAATTTTATTCTCTGTTTATATGATAGTTCCTATATAAACACACTCTCAACATTCTCCCAATTTCCCAGCTGAGTATTTTCTTTTCGTGTTCCATTTTCCCTACCACCTCAGGGTATAACAGGACTCGTTATTTGATTTTAATTTTCCCAATGGAGGGAGACCAGAACTTTTACCTCCACACTCACCACCTCCTTTAATTTTTGCATAAATATTAAATATGCAAATATGCTTAAAATATTTAATGTTTGCAGACACCTCGTCGATAAACGCATAACGCCGAAGAGTTTGTGGGCCGTGAAGAGCCGTCAATTAATTAAAATATTTGCCATTAACATAAATTAAGGAATATAATTAAATTGGCGGACTTTCAATTGATATTAATTGCGATGCGTGTATGCGTATGCTGGGACGGCTGATAGTGGGATGGATATGGAAATGGAATAACTGACCTGACTGACTGGCCTCGTCCGGTGGCATTAACGAGGCCAAACGGAATCGCAAAATCAAGGGGAAATCGTGAACGAAAATCAGGGGGCATGGATGGGGTCACGCAAAAGGGGTTATATGTCATGGAGTGGCTGCCTGTCAGGCCGGCCGTCCGGGCCGCCGATGGGGATTGCAAAAAGTTGACTTAACTTTGTTCGTCCTGCTGCTACTGGCATGCATGTATAAATTGCCACTTATGGCATCAGACCACGCCCCCCAGCTACGCCCTGCGTCAGGACGACAGGCCGGACAGGCAGGACCGGGAGGACAGGACAGGCAACAGCGCGGAAACATTGCAATTTCAACTGTCAAACAGAAATTGGCCCAATGACAGGCCAATAAAAACACACAAAAAATCGTGGCGAGCATCAGAAACCAAGTGGAATTACAAAAACTCAACGATAAGCCAAAAAGGAAAGGTGCTTCAACATTTTTGAAATAAATGTAAAATATTTGAAGTCTAGAGAAGCGTGTTTATTTTCTATTTGGCCGAGCAATTTCTATCATTTATCAATTATCACATCTTAAATATTCATATCCGCTACTAGTGGAGTACCAAGGTATAATATTTTAATTAAATGTGAATTGATAATTGAAAAAGAAACGGGAGATCCCTTAAAAATGGGGATTTCCCCTATATGGCCCACAGTGATGGCTATATCTTCCCCAATTCTTATCCGATTCTAAAGCGGAGTACCTTAAACGATTTCTGGATCGATTTGCCACCATTCTGCATCAAAAACCTGATACAAAATATTTTTTAGATTTTTTGTCCATTTTTCCTGGGAGACCCCTTGAAAATGTGGTTTTCCCTATATCGCCCACAGTGATGGCTATATCTTCCCCAATTCTTATCCGATTCTAAAGCGGAGTACCTTAAACGATTTCTGGATCGATTCGCCACCGTTCTGCATCAAAATCCTGAGACAAAATATTTTTTAGATTTTTTGTCCATTTTTCTGGGGAGACCCCTTGGAAATGTGGTTTTCCCTATATCGCCCACAGTGATGGCTATATCGTCCCCAATTCTTATCCGATTCTAAAGCGGAGTACCTTAAACGATTTCTGGATCGATCCGCCACCCATCTGCATCAAAAACCTGATACAAAATATTTTTTAGATTTTTTGTCCATTTTTCCTGGGAGACCCCTTGGAAATGTGGTTTTCCCTATATGGCCCACAGTGATGGCTATATCTTCCTCAATTCTCATCCGATTCTCAAGCGGAGTACCTTAAACGATTTCTAGATCGATTTGCCACTATTCTGCATCAAAATCCCAAGACAAAATATTTTTTAGATTTTTTGTCCATTTTTCTGGGGAGACCCCTTGGAAATGTGGTTTTCCCTATATGGCCCACAGTGATGGCTATATCTTCCTCAATTCTTATCCGATTCTTAAGCGGAGTACCTTAAACGATTTCTGGATTGAATCTCCATCATTCTGCGTCTAAATCCTGAGACAAAATATTTTTCAGATTTTTTGTCCATTTTTCTGGGGAGACCTCTTGGAAATGTGGTTTTCCCTATATCGCCCACAGTGATGGCTATATCTTCCCCAATTCTTAAACAATTTCTGGATCGATTCGCCACCATTCTGCATAAAAATCCTGATCAAGAATATATACATATATCATTATAGACTCCACACTTGCACACTTTAGACCAAAATTATAATACGAGGGTATAACAAAGTCTCTAAAAGACAACAAAAAGCTGTATCTGTAATATTATTAGACATTAATCACTATCAGTGTCAATAATAGTTAGTCCCTTTATCAAAATGCATGTTAATTAAGCAACTTTCGATGAAAAAGTATATCAATAACCTAGATTACACGATTCACTGTCAATGTATTACATTTCAGTAATTAAACAATGTAATAATAAGCAAAAAAGTAAAATAAATCAAACAAATTATTAATTACCAATAAAAACTGTGGCTTTTAAAACGAGTTAGCAAAACAAACAAAATCCAGTTAGTAAATATTTATGATTAAAGGTAAGAAAAGTGAATTATTGACAAATAGAAGCAATTGCCCGAAGTATTTGCTTCAATTAGCTGTGACTTTTGGCTTCGACTTGGAATTAATAATTTGATTATGTGAATTGGTAGTAAATCAAGTACAAAATATGGGCAAATAGCATTCTAGTTCATTAGTTTACTTCTTGTGCAGTCTGTGATTTTAATTCATAAGTAACATTTCCAAGACAAATAAACAGAATGGAAAAGGCAAGCTACAACTGTGGGGATGGATGAAGTGCAAATACACTTTCTAAAATTATTTTAAATAATTAGGAATTAGTAATAAAGGTATTTTAAGCTTTAATTTAAAAAAATACATCTTTTTCTTTCTTTAATATCTTAAAACTTTAAAATAAAGTGCCGGAAGTGAAAAAAATCAAGGCAAAGATAACTCAACTTGAGTTAATTCAACTCAACTCGAGTCGAGTGGCAAGTGGCAAGTGCGGAGTGCTGCTGGCTGGCAAGGGCCAAAGGACTGGGGGCAGGGAAAGGGGATCGACTAATTAATTAGCAGCTAATTTAACGCGTCGCTGCCCCGGACATAACTCAGCAGGATGCACTTGCAAACAGAGACAGCATCCAGCCAGTAGTTGCAGACAGGCCAAAAGGATGTCCTGGCCTGGCCAGGATCCTGTCTCTTTTGACCCTCCCTCGTTCCTTCCCCTGTTGGTCAGTAAAATTGTAATATGACCAAAATGGCAAAAGGCAGAACAGGAGAGAGCCCAAAAATTGCCAATTAAATGTTAGTTGCAAATTCTAGTGGCCAGTCGAATATCCATGTTTTTGGGGGGCGACATACTGTATTTGCATTTGCAGCTGTAGTTTTTAATCAGCAGCTGCGATTAAAAAATCATTCCTGTGCTTATATTCCACCAATTGGAATTTAAATAAAATGGCCAGAGCCCCTGGGCCAGAGTTGTGCATTAAATATTCATATTGGTTTCATATTTATGCAATATGGCGAACGACTATATGTACATATATTAATTATAAATGGCATAACAAAAGCTTCAAAATAAATCAAAATGTAAATATATGTTGCAAAGTGAAAAATGTAAATATTTCTCAATAAAAAAAAGGATATTTTTGGGAAATATGTAAATTCATTTATTAAATTTTAATCAAAATAAGTTGGAAAATAATATAGAATATATTTAAAAGGTAGGAGAATATTCATGTTTTCATATTTTAGAACCAAACCCAATAATCATAATCATTTTGATCGATGGCTTTGTATGGCCTTAACCTCTTTAAACAAAAAACTGGGAAAATATAGCTACAAAAAAATGTATAAAAAAATAATAAAAATAGTAATAAAATAAAATAAAATATAATATCGGTTGCTGGGTGCGAACCAAAGAAACAAAAGTTGAAGGCAAAGTGCAAAACACAAAACAAACAAACAAAACAAAACGCAAATCGCACACAGAACCAAATCGAGTAGAAGGACTCTACTACCAAAAAAAAACACACAAAAAAAAAGCCAACAATGTGTGATGTAAGTTAAGATGATAAAGGACAAAGTATGGCGGGGGGACTAGGCAGTGGGCGGAAACGTGCAAAATATGCCAATGACACAATACAGAGAAAGAGACAAACAGCGACAGAGTGGCAGGGGGGGAGGGAAAAGGTGAAAGGTGAAAGATAACAGATAACAAGAGCCTGTGCATGAGCATGAACATGAAAACGAAAATGACAAACAACAAAAACAAAAGACAAGGATTCAAAGGACAGGCAGTGTGTGTGTGTGAGTGAGTGTGTGTGTGTATGGACAAAGTGCAATGGTATGTGCTTTTCGCAGTGCTGCCAATTTGGTGATGACATTTTTTTTTTTTTTTAATAATACTACATAGTTACGAGGTGAGAAGTAATCAATTACAAACAAAATGAAATAAAAAGTACATTTAAAATAATTGAAATGGTGTGGTTTTTATTAAAAAAAAGCAAAAGAAATCTTGAATAAAGAAAATGAATCAATAAATGAAGGTGCTCTGGTAAAGACTTATTTTGAAATACTTTAAATATTCAAATATTTTACATTGAAAATTGAAGAAAAACTTCTAGAATTCATTTAATTTTTTTAAATATGCCAAGGAGTGTTAGTTACTAGTTTCTAACGCTGCTAGTTCATAGTTACTAGTTAAAAATAGCACTAGTTATTAGCCACTAGTTACAAATAGCACTAGTTACGAGTTACAAATGGTATTAGTTACTAGTTACAAATGACACTAGTAACTAGTTTAAAAATACACTTTTGATTAGGTAAATTTTAAAACTAGTTACTTGTAACTAATGCTACTAGTTACTAGTTTTTAAGGGTACAAGTTTATAGTAACTAATGTTACTAGTTACATATGCAACGTGTTACTAGTTACTAGCCACTAGTTCCCAATGCCACTAGTTACTAGTTTCTAGTTACTAGTTACTAGTTCAGACTAGTTTCTAACATTAATATTTTAAAATTTAGCTATAGTTTTTAAAACAAATAAAAAAAAAACTATTGGCATCACTGACGAGGGAAAACAACAACAAATATCGGAAAGTCGGAGAACAAACACAGAGAAAGTGGCTGATTTGGAGTGTTTTGAGTTTGTTTTGCATTCAAGGACCGTGGGGGAACGGTTGGTTCTTGTTTTGTTTTTTTTTTTATTTTGCACCTTACCTTCGACGTGTTGTCCTGCACCCAGGCATCTGGCTTACCATAGTCCGGCGGATTCGCATACGGATCGTAGCCGAGCACGGACAGCATGGGCGCGATGTCGGCCATGTCCCGCACCACGTCGCCGGGTATCTGGCCCACCCACTTGGACATGGCCTCCAGGTTAACGGGTTTGATCACCTGGTCCGAGGACCTCTCCACTCTTTGAAAATAATTTTTTTTTTACAAAATTTAATATTCAAGTTTCATGGAATTGATAGAAATTAGAGAAAAGACTTACTTGGAGAGAGGCACTCCGTTGGGTTTATTGATAAACTCCTCGTGATGGAGGACCGCATCGTTCCATGGCACGTCCAGGAATTTAAGGATCTTACGCATCCATTCCTCTGGATGCAGGACTAATTGTTCGTAGTAGACCTGTGGAATAAGATAGGATAAGATACTATATGATACCCAGTAGTCCTCTATAGTAATCTATAGCATACTTTTCAGCGTATTTCATTCTCAAACCTATCATTCTATTTTCATAAAGGACTTTTATACTTGTCCTCTTGTCCAAGTCGGTAAGTTCATTATATTTTACAGCCCCCCCTTTAATATAATTTAGGAGGCGTTTGACTTAATTTCCTGTGCCAGGCTGCTGTCGCAGGACATGCCACAGGACCTATCACAGACACCCAAGCACCCCGACCTCGACCAGGTTAATCATCATTGATTGAGTTGGGCCAGTGTCGGTGATTGCTCTCAGGAGCCAGAAGCCAGAAGCTAGCCCATACTCACCATCATGCAGCGGTCCTTGCCGATGTCCCGACACTGCTCGTGCATCACCTCGATGGCGTGGTTCCACTTCTTCATGCACTGCCGGTAGCTGCTCAAATCGAACCCGGTGATTGTCACCTTGCGCGATATAATCGAATGAACTGTCGCCCTGCCGTCGCGCACCATGAATAGGAATTTCGCCTGCAACACAGGATTAAAGTGTGTTTAAAAGGTTGAAAGGTTGAACAAAAGCTGCAGCTGCCACACATGTAGGCGGTTAACTTAAATGGATTTAAAATTTTTAAGCATTTAAACATTTTAACAGTTTTTCATGCCAGATTTTCACAAATTAAGCCCATTACTCTGCCAGATTATGGAGGTTTTTTTCGAATCTGTATTGTTTCTATATTGGTGGGAATGTGCGTGCACTGACTAAGGGGAGAGAGTGTGTCGTACTATATGTAGTGTGTGTGTACTTACGTTCGGAAATAGCTCGATGACATAGGAGCCCATTTTCAGCGTCAGTGGATCCTTGTTGCATAAACGGGGCGCCGGTTCGCCGTGCTTGGCGATGATTTCCAGACAGAACTGGGCGATGGCGCTGTTCATGACCTCTTTGGTGATGCCGGCCTCCTGCAGCCGTAGCGACTCCTTCTCGGAGTTTAGCCAGTGGGAGCGCAATTGGAGGATGCGTGGAATGACGCGCGTTTCCTGCCCGCAGCTATACAGTTCAGTTCATTTCAGTTTAGATTGGTTTTTCGAAACATTGAGGCAAGGATACATGGAAGAAAAGAGGAGATTAGTTTAAATATCACTCATACGCCATGTATTACAAGTTTAAAACGGGGATAACTCTACAACTAATGGCTTAAGGAGCTTGAAAATAAATACATTTTATAATAGTCCACTTATCCCTAGTTTCAGTTTCATAAAGAAAATACAATATTTTTTTCTGGGCAGACAACAGGGCGTATGAGTAACATCCTTAATTTCATCTGTTTGATATTTCCTGGTCGTCCCTTTTTGTGAATCCTAGCTTCGCCAAACCAGATCCTTCTAATACAATCGACAAAATGAAATGGGACGCCATTCCGCCGCTGGCTTTTAGTCTGCCTGTAACTGAAAACCACCTCCTCCTGTGCCTCCTGTGCGTTGCCCCCCTGGAGAGGAGCTGGATAGAAGCGCGCTTCCATGTCCGATGCATAACTCCCATTTGGAATACTGTTCCTCCTAACTGCCAACTCTCATAACCCTCCCCATTCCACCTCCCTTATGGCAGCTGCAATTTTCCTTTTGGCCAGAGAACAAAAACCCAGTGAACTATAAACGGCCTCAAACGATTCGTTTGCGATTCTCATTTGCTGTGGCGGCGGCGCTAGAGAGCTAGAGCCCTGTGCCGCTACAACCGTAATCAAGTTCCAGAACACACACAAAAATTACTGCCTGATTGCGTAAATTATCATAAATATCTCACACTGCACACCACCGAGCACTGCAGCGCTCTGAAGAGCAATTGAAAATCGTTGGAAAATTCAGAAAAACGTTGGTTAAAAATGGGAAATAAATGGAAGAATAAAAAAAGAAACCACACAGGAAAGTAATCAAAGTTGATCTAAGCTTGGGTTATTTTTATTTCTTTGATACCTGGGGGGTATCATTGGGGTATATTGTTTCTATCAGTATCTCTTTATTTTTATGAAAGTACCAGGTATCATATAGTTCATAGATAAGACCCACTTTTATGCTTGTTGCTTGGCGCCAAGGAAAAAACCCCTTTGGCTGGGTTACCATTCCGGGTAATCAAAGTTGATTTAAGGTTCTGTTTATTTCCAAGCTTACTTTACTTTAAAAGCAACCAATGCTACCCTACCTACCGCCACGCACAACCACAATTCATTTCGCTTTTGCAGTTAATTTAGCAATGCGGTTTCAAGTGTACTCGGTTACCAAGTTAAATGAAATATTTTACGACTAATTAACTCGGTGCTGTTGTTCTCGCTCCCCTCTGCTCCCCTCCGCTCTGGAATTGCCAGTTTTGCCAAAAACATTATGCCAGCTTTGAGCCGCAACCTTTTGCTTTCCCATTTTGCATGTCTACCAATCATAATTAAAATGGAAATATGTTTCACTCCGTTTTCTGGCTCCCCATTTTCCATTTCCTATTCAGTTGGCTAATCAGTAATTGTTTTTGTGACAGGTAATTTCTCAGGCTAACTAAAACCCCAATTCCCAACCACAATTGAAGGCTTGAAGGACTGACTATAATCCTGGCTTCAAGTCAATGGCTAAATAAATCTAAATCGCTCCAAACTAAGCCCCGCCAATTATATTTGTTCGCACTTTGGATGGTTGGGGAATGGGGGGCGGCGAGTGGAGCCCTCAAAACCTCGGAATCTGTGGGGATCACGACGCGAATCGGAATGCAAATCCCTCGAAATTGTTTGGGGGCCTTAACCAGAGACTCAATTAGTTGCCACCACCAGCTTCCAAATGCAAGTCCAAAATGCTAAATGCTACAAATTCTAAAACGAGATTTAATCTGCAATTCGGGTCTGTGGGTGACCTGCTCCACATACGAGGCTACAGCTCTCCAGCTCTCCAGCTCTCGAGAGCTATGCTTATAAAAAGAAAAACTTTTTATATTTTTGCACCGCTCGTTGTATTTTTTTTTTTTGGATTAGCAGGACGACTCCTGTTAGTTGGTAACAAAAGCCCTGGGTGGAGGACTCCAAAACCTATTCTGTAACTAAAAGTCCTTTCGTTTCTCCTCCTCTGCGTCCTGTGCGTTCTCTGTGTGTCCTTTTTCCTTTTCCCGCCACTCGAAAAGTAGGGGGGAAGTCGGTTTTTAAATAGCGGAAATTGCGCTGTGCAGCCATCAGAAAAAGCGACCCTGACTGGCTGACAGGACTCGGGATTCCCTGGATCCAGGACACAGGATAGGCCACGGATGTGAGGCGACAGGATGAAGTGAGATAGAAATGGCAGCAGAAAGGCAAATTGTTAATAAAATAAGCGGCAAAAAAAAAAAAACAAAGCAGAAAATGAAAATCAAGCCATCGGACCGCCATTTCTCATTTCCAGATTGCGAAAATTTCGTGGCTAATTACTCATGCGTAAGGGAAACTTAAGAAATTATAATATATATCAGTGCCCCTAGGTGGCAAAGGAACAAGAGCAACGAGCTCCCAGATACTCAAAGCACAGATACGAAGGATACAGTTGGGGCGATGGGGGGGAAAAAAATATTAAAATTGCCAAAGGGCAAAAATGGAATATATATCGAATTGGGGAGATCTGGGAGTCGGTCGGTAGTCGGGTAGTTGGGGATACCAAACAAAAATGCATATTAAAATGTACAATATTTCTCCCCATAGAGAGAGCGGTAGAAATACACTTTATGGTTGGGGCCACAATTACGTCTCCCCGGAGTCGGGAGGGAGGGTGTCGACCCGGATGCGGATCCGGAAAAGCACCAGAAAAAGGTACCAAACGGAAACGGAAATTATTTGAAATTGAAATGGTATTTTTTAAAGACAAACCCTCTAACAAAAAAAAAGGGGGGAAGAGACACGAGACTTCAAGTGAAATGCAACTGAAATTTCGCACCACGAACCAATTTATTTAGCTTGAGGCAAATCAACTCGTTATGTTTGTTATTTACTTGTAGACTTTACTTTACTTTGCCAAGTAAATTGCCAAGAGCTAATAGCCGAGGGTAATTGAAAAAAAGAATAATTAAAACGCTTTAGTTTGCTGGCTGATGGCTGCTGGCTGCTAGCTGTTGGAATTCATTGCACGCAGTAGTTTTCAATTTATACTGGTAATTAAATGGTTAACTGGATTAGCAGTCAATTAAAACAAGTTAAGTCATTTGGCATTTTATGCATGATATTTATGGTTTGGAGAAAAAAAAAGTTAACAATGTAAAGGCTTTGATTTAAATCAGTTGGTAATATAAAAGCTTTAGCTTTGGGTTTTTAAATTTTTTTCAGAAGTAATCGGAGTTAACAGCAAATTCGATTCGAAGCTGTCCGCGTGTCCGTCTGTCCGCCAAAAATGTTTCAAGGCCAATAGGAGTCTTATTTTTTAAGCTAAAAACTTCAAACTTTGCAAAGAGTATCCTTTTGTTGACCTTTAGTTTATAAGAAAGAATTACCAGGATCGGAGAACTATATCCTAAAGCTTGAGATAGGGATACCCCCTCTAAAGTAAAGTATAAAAACCATCTGGGATATGCAAGCAAAAAGGTATTGCCTTACAGCCAAACAATCAATTCGAAAATTTGTTCCTGGGGTTCCTGGGGAAAGGGTATTATCCTGTTACAGATTGTAGGTGGGGCTGGTCCTTGGCAGTGAGTGGGTGGGTGTGTGTGTGTGTGGAGGTGGATGGATGGATGGATAAGACTTACCGCACATCGGGATGGGCATCCAACATAGCGCGCATCAAAGTCGTCCCAGATCTGGGCACCCCGCCTATGAATATTAATGGCATCTCACGGTTGTATGAATAAACGCGTTGATTGTCATCTGTGAGGTATTTCTGAACGTGTCCGTATCCGTATCCGTAACCGTGTCCGTGTCCGGGGTTCCGCATTCGCATCAGCATCAGGAACAGCAGCAGCAGCATCAAGGTAAACCGAGATGGAACCCAAGAGAGAGAATGGAGACAAAAAAAAAAAATGAAATTAGAGAAAAGTTGAAGGCGCAAAAAATATTACGATGATAATAAAAATAGATGATTGGTGTACAGAGAGAAAAATAATTATAAGTATTCTTTTTAAATTAATTATCTTCCTGTAAGTTTTATTCTCTAATAAGCAAACTTCTTATTAAACACTTCTTTCCCCCCATAGAGATAGACTAATTATATTGTAGAGTAGAGCATTTCTTAAAGTGTATCTGAGCGTGGGTGCTGCTGGGCTTGGATGGCGTGGATGGTTGAATAAGCGCAGGTGTTAACGCCTTCATAGGCATTAGCGTCAAAAAGAATGAAAAGTGGCACGGGAGTGAGGCTCCGGCGACAGGTGATGGGCATTACTGGAAATAGAATTTACCTATCCATATGTTTTGGGGGGCTTTTCAACCTTTTTTCAACCCCACACCGACTAATTCCTATGATAAATTAGAACCTTATCGGGGCTTCTGTGTGTGTGGGTTTTTGAAGCAACTAATGGGAAATCGATCTATTTCCATTAATCATAGTCAGCCAATTAGGCCAACTTATGGTTTATCTTATCAGAGTTTCAGATAAACCTTCCTGTTTATAGTTAGATATGTACTTTCCAGGGAATACATCTCGTTATTATTTATTGCTATTTGAATCTATTTACTTTATCAACTCTCTGACTCTCCGTACATTAATTAATTTCCATTTGAATGAACCGAAGGGCAAATGCTATTGATTGCGAATTTTCACGAGTGCAGGATTTATATTTCCAGCTAGCGTGGTACTCTTTCAATGAATTAATTAGCAATTCCAATTCCGAAAATTAATTTCCATTTTAAAGCCTTGAATAATTAGCTCCTGCGAGGCTTTAAGCCAGGATCTGAGGTAGGCATGTATGTATATGTGTTAATGCCTTGTGGAAACGATTTTGACCGTCTCAGCAAACACATGCCATTGTCTAACCATTTCCCTCAACCCACTACCCCCCACAGGATCCATCTGGTAAGCTGCTTATAGCCTCTCCGATATTCCCAATGCTAATCAATGCCCCGACATACCACCATTCCCTGCCTTTTGAAACTCCAGCGAGACCATTTTGGTCTCGACTAATGTTTACAAAATAGTGTTCGGTCATCCGATAACCAGTTAAATTCCCTCAATGACTTTTGCTTTGGTTTTCGGTTTTCGATTCTTGGTTTTGCGTGTGTGGATTGGATATCTAGCATTCTCCATCCTCCACTCTCTGTGTTCATCCAACATGAAATTAGTTATCCACCTCCACCCAACCTCTAGTTTCTGCTGAAAAGGTTTTCCCTTCCTTTTCTTTTGATTTATCATGGAAATGGTAAATGTTATTCTTTGGCTTGGTCAGCACAACCGGAGGGCAGTGAGTGAGTGCTCCACGAGTGCCCCCAAGGAAGACTCCGGCTAGTCTTTAAATTTAAATTCTAGTCCCGAGCTCTCTCTATCGCAAATCATAATTCAAGATGCGCATCAAAAATAGATTATCCAATAAGGCAAAAAGCCAAAAGAATCTGTCAGTACCTGATTGCGTTCGCTACCCTCCTCCCAAAAACGTGTATGATTGAATTTGAATATATGGATTTTTTTTGGATTTTTTTTTTTGGTTGAAAATCCCTACAGTTTAGCTTGAATGATGAAGATGTTTCCGGAGGTGTAGTGTATGGGCGATGATTTAGGGCTTGTGTGTTGGGGTGGTTGGGTGGCATGAGATTGGACCTTCGATTCGATTCGATTTGGTTGTGGCAGGTGTGGCAGGGGGTGTGGATGCAGTACATACCTCAACGCGTACCATTTGGGAGGATAGCTCATTGGTGGTGGCATCCACCTTGAAGAGGCATGTGGGCCTCAGTTCGGTGAACTTGAATAGGAACATGGTGACAACGATGATGCCGAATAGCACCCATAGGGTGACCTTCTTATTCCGATACGGCAGACGCATCTTTGCCAGCTAAAGGTTTAGGTGTCGCAGTTAACTGGTTTTTGATTCGGCGGTTTTTGGTCCTTTTTTTTTTTGCGCTCAATCCTGGATCCTGGATGGGGTGGATGACTGACTCCTGCTGCTATGCTTTGCTTTGCTTTGCTTCCTTGGTTGCTTGTATATCTCCTATGTAGTCCGTCGTTTGCCCAAAGCTTAAATATGCAAATTGGTTTTCTTGGGCTCACTCAAAAGCGTTTCGAGAGCGAGTGGAAAGTTGTTTTGCTTGTGCCTGGCACACTCCCGGCGAGGTAGGTAGCTCCTTTGTAGATCCTTCAGTCCCCTCGTGTTTGTCCAGCGGGTGGATTGCTTTTGGATGAGGATGAGGAGAAGTTGGTGTCTTCCTGCTGACTACTGTGATGATAGAAGGAGGTGGTGGTCGAGCCAGAAGTTGTGGTGGTGGCGATGGTTGGAATGGCTATGGAAATGGAAATATGGTTGGGTGGTGGTGATGATGCCACCACAATGGCTCCGCTTGCAACGACCGCTGTGCTCGTCTTCCTGGTTGTCCTTATGATCCTTCTGCTGCTCCTGCTGCTGCTGCTGCTGGTCCTGCTGTTCCGGCTGCTCCTGCTTATGACGTTGATTGCTTCGCATCGCCTTGCCTTTTGTTTGCTCCTCCTTTTGCTTTCTTTCCAATATCCTGGCTATGGGGGCTATGGCTTCTTCTTGTTTATCGCGCTTTCTCCACCGCCGTTGCTCGCTTTTCAGTTTATTGCATTTTTTTTTTTTAGGAAATCTATATGTTTGGATGGGATTTCCACTTCCACACTCGCTCAACGCTCAGGAGCTGCAACGGGAAAAGCAAAGACTACGTTAAGTATATTTTTTAATAGTTTTTCGAGGAATTATTGTTGTGCTTTTTTTTTTTTTTTAATGATTTGCCGGTAAAGTGTCCTTTCGCTTTTAGTGACTTGCCACATTCGATCGACAATGAACCGCCTTTCAAACTGACAATCCAACACACGACTGTGGAGAGACAACGACCGCTTCTGACTGGCAGGCGCACCTCAAGTGAATACGCACCTCTTGTGGTCTCCAGTTTTTTCCTGGCCGACTTGGCACACACCACCTGCTGCTGCAGACTCCCGACTAATCCACCAGCTTTTGTTACTCCAGAGCCAGAGACAGAGCCAGATGTTTGCTCAGTTGTTGACGAAGAGCTGCCAGCCCAGTGACTTAATGAGCCGAAATGCCAAATAGACTGGAACCAGTGTTAGCGATATGTACACATAATAGCTCCAATTGCCGGTTATTTCCTCCGTCATACCTGAAACAGATCAGACAGATGAAATGGTAAATAATATTAATCACCTTGTCGAACAAAAGGAAGAGAGACAGGCACCCAACACGCACATTCTTTTCATTTCCCATCTATGAGAGATATTTGATTAGAAGTCAAGTTCTGTTTCCAATTTATATGACAACGTGACTCCCAAGAGGGTCAATTGGAGAAATATGACCCAAAAGGGGAGAGCCATGGCATAAGCGGCTTACATACAAAACATTTGCCAGCTGTTCTACCGACCAGACCTGTCCTCTAAGTGCAACATGCCACATGACACACAGTGATGCTTCATGGACATGCCAGGATTCTGTTTCTGTTTCTAGCCAATTAATCTTTCATAGTTGGTAATTGAATAAGAATAGAATTTTTGGTTTATATTTCTTAACTTTAAGTTAAGTTGAAAAGTATCTTTATATTGTATCTGAATGTTTTACATTTTCCAATGTTTACTGCATTTTAGAGCTTCCTTCTCGCACCATTTAGCCTGCATATGAGTTTCAGGCGACATTTGTCAAAAGGTTTTCCCTTCTCGGAGGAAAACAATGGTAAAGAGGAGCCAGAGGGTTGGGGGAAATAGTGTCGGAGTAGCCGTAGCACTCTTGACAACTGCCAACTGCCTGGCAAGTTCCTTCCAACTCGACTCAACTCAACTCTCTCAAGTGCGGCCGACGTGTCAGATGCTCGAGTACTTATAATTCTCTTAAATTCCCTCAACTTTCCACAATATGAGAAATATACGGCAGCGTCTCTAACTCTGTCGAGACTCCCAAGATGATGGATGCATGGAGAAGGCAAGAGCTGAGTGGGTTAGATATTAAGCAGATAGCCAGCAAGTGTGTGTGGAGCGGAATTTGTGCTTTCAATAAACTGCAATGGCAAACACTCAAGGGCTCCCATGTCACTGGGTACACACAGTGCCATATCGAATGATAAATATGCCGATTACTGAACCATCAGAAAGTGCAGGGACTTGCTTGGGAACCCCCAAGATATGAGCGCCATAATTTGGTCAAAAAGCATTTGATTCTTAAGAGGGATACATTAAACGATTTGCTGAAAACTTATCAGAAAATGTTTTTTTTTTTTTTAATTTTTTTTGGTGAGATTCCCTTGAAAAATAAAAAAATCAATAAAAATCCAACTATGGAAAAAATCGAAGGCTATATCTTGGGTATTATATAGCCGATTTTTAAGCGAAGTATCTTAACAGATTTGTGGATCAATTATCTTTCAGTTTCTGTCAAAACCTAATCGCAAATAATTTTTTTTACATTTTTTTAAGAAGTTTTCTGTAGATCCTTTTTAAAAGAAAAGGGTTTCCTTGGGGAGCAAAGTACCACCCCATGCGGAAGCTACATATATCTCAACCAATAATCCTCCTATTCTCAAACGGAATTCAACAAGAGATTTGTGGATTAATTTGCATCAAAACTTGATCACAAAGTATTTTGTAGGATTTTTTTTAAATTTTTCTGAATTGAACCCTTTTAAAAACCTAGAAACCCATAAAAATTCCATTAAGGTCTACACATCTATATATAGAGAAAGCTATATCTTGGCCAATATAGATATGATTCTCTAGAGGAGTACCTTGTCAGATTTGTGGATACGTTTTCTTTCAGATTCTAACAAAAACTACTTAAAATCTTTTTTAGATTTTTTTTTCGAATTTTTCTGGTGAGACTCCTTTTGAAAAAATGATAAAATCCCCAGCGATGTATATATATTTAAAAAAATATATCAGATATCTAGAAGACCCATTTGTTTTCCGTTCATCCGAACAATAGGCCTTAAAACTTGATTACAATGAACCGCACATTCCTTTATCTTTAGTTTCCATAGATGGGTTAACCCACACAATATATACATACGCACTAGTGCTTTCACTCCTCCACCACTTTGGAAACTTTAATTAATTTAAAATTTCAAATTATTTGTTGGCCAAAGACGCCGCACACACACACACATCAGTGCCCCCCACAAACTACAACTTTTCACACATCATTTCCTAGTTGGTGTGGTGTGGTGTGGGGCTTTCGTCACTTCTTAGAATCTTTGATTCAGTTGAACCTCAGAAAGTATTCTCAAAGAACTGAAGGAGCCAGCAATTTGTCATCCAAGGAGTTTTCTTGTTTTCTTGCTTTCTACTTTCTACTTTCTCTAGTTTCTAGTTTCTTCCTTGTGCCTTTTGGCTTTTCCTTTACATTTCACCTTTGACCGTAGGTGTAAACATATATCCCGTTATTCTCAATTGCACCTGCACTTTTGTTAGCAAGTGTGTGTGTTTTAGTGTGTGTTTTCTGGTTCGTCCTTTTGTTTCCTGCCATCTGATCCTGCCAACTTGTTGGATACTCCCCCCATTGCCAGAGACACAAGGACATCATGTCTGAAAAACATTTTCCAGAAGGACGAGACGAGACACTTGAAGGAATAGTTTTTCCAAAGCAATAGGATATCAGGTTTTATTGCTTTCATTAGGGACTTTAGAGTAATACCCGGTACTTTTCGAGGGAAAGCCCAAAAGTATGCAACAGAAATGGATGGAGAGCAGATGCTCCTTTGGCTTGGAATTTTGTAATCATTATAAAGCCAAATGGATATGGCAAATATTTGTTTTCTCTGTGACGGAATCCCCCAAAGGGTCCTTGCCAGCTTCTCTGGCTTCTGGTTACTGGTTCCTGGTTCCTTTCGTTTGCCACATTCTCAGCCTCAGACTTGCAACTCATGTCGTGTAGTATGTGTGTCGGAAAAAGTTTTGGATATTAAAAAATAAATAAAAATTCTTTTGGCCATATTTTGCATGCTAAAATGTGGCTTATACATATGTACATACATACATATATCTGTATATATATTTTTGGGTGCGAAACTTTGAAGGGCCAAGTTACTGGGCCGCCCAACAACAACAATGCAATGCACACCCCTTTTTCCTATTTTCCCACTACACCCACGTAAATAAAAATAAAAATAAAAAAAAAATACAAGAAATAGGAGAAAAAAAAAGGCAACAAAAAATGTTAAAACGAAGCCCAAGTTGAAATTTTTGTTTGAAGAGCTTGTGGGGAATGGATACTGGGATGGGGGGTGTATGTGGTGTGTGCTATATGGTTTATAATAAACATTCAACAACACACATATCCCACAGCATAGTCGTTCTACTTTATTTTTTTTTTGTTGGTTGTTTGGCTCAAGTGTCGGTTAAAGTCTTGTAAAAATTAATAAGCGGGTAAATTTTATTGTGTTTCCATATAAAAGACACACACATATACTCAGTCCTAGAGACGCATTAAATTGTTTATTCATATGAAGAGTTTTTCCTACTTTATTTGATGGGACTTTGTGTTTTTTTTATTTCCAGCAACAGTTCTCTCAGATGCTTTTGTTCTTGTTATGCTCAACTTAAGCTTAATGGCATTTTATTTTGGGCATTACCGAGGCACAGTGGAACAAGGGAAAGGGTTTCTGGAAGGATTTCTGAAAGGGTATAAGTAACAAACTAAATAGCAATGGTACCGTGTATCACATAGTAAGAAAACTCAAAGACAGGGATAGGCTTTCGGGGGAGTATTTGTACCCAGAACTTAAAGGTTAGAGGGTAGGTTAGCAGAAACAAAATAGATATTAATAGTACCATCATATAGTCACTAAACTTGAAGAAAGGAATAGGGTTTGGGGTAGTATTTATACCCATTACTTAGAAGGTAAATTAGAAGTAACAAAATAAAAAGTAATAGTACCGGGTATCATATAGTCATAGAACTTAAGGAAAGGGATAAGGTTTTGTGAGAGTATTTATATCCAGTACTTGTAGGTTAGTACCAGGTATCATATAGTCATATTAAAAGGGTATTTAAATATAGTTATAAAGTCTTTTAGGCTTCTTAAGAGTCTTCACTTTTATCTTTGTGATTTTTTAAAGAATTTCTTTTTAAAAACTTTACGAAATAATTTAATTTGCATATTTCTGTAATTAGTTTTGAAAGAATAAGATATCTAAGTGATTTTTTAAGAAATTTCCTAAAAAGAATACTATGATTTGCATATTTCTGCTATTTAGAAACCACTGTGCTGGAAAATAGCCTGGCGCTAGTTCACACGCTTGTTGCGCCCACACAGACGAATCCGAGATACCCGAGATACTGAGATACTTTTGTTCTTCGTGGAGTAGTGGGAGGGAAAGTGCTAGAGGGGCTCTGAAGGAGTAGAAAAAACAAAAAAAAAAACAAAAATGAAAAGAAAATCTGCATAAATAATGTTGAGCCACGCTTTCTGCGGGAAGTGTTGATGATTTGATGGAAAATTCCGAAACTAAAGCGCGCAAAGTGCGAAAACAAAACGATCCAGCTTAAGCGCCCAGTTGGTAAGTTGGCAAGACGGATGGAAAGGCAGAGATGGTTTGGCTAAAACGTAGATGGGGATGGGAGATGGGCCTCGTAGCCTCTAAAAAGGGGGCCAAATGGAACAAAAAACCCAGTCACTTTTCCCCCCATCCATCCCCCCATCCAGCGAAGCGTGGGCATTCTATTTTTCAAGCGAAACGTGGCTCTCCATATTTTCTGCGAGTAGAGTTTATTATTTTAGCCAACTGACTCCATGGCGACATTGGGCTCATTTATCAGGCACAAGCACGTCACGTTGGTATATTATAAATTACACCCGACAATATGCAGGCCAACTTGGCCCTATATTCCCCGTCATATTTTCTTCAAGTTGCTTAATTATTCTACATGTTTGGCATTTAAAACTCGAGAAACCATTCAAGTATCTCCTCTGAAAGCCATTTCCTCTCTCTAAATACTTTAGATAATTTTTCAACAAACTGACCCAAAAATTTATGAATTTTGATAAGCAATTTATATTGTGCTTTGTTGGCATCTCTGTTGGCAGTTTAAGAATGACAACAGGCCGGGGGAGCTGGGCTCCCCAGTTGCCAGCCGGAGGAAAGTGCAACGGAGCGGATATGTCTCATCCGTAATCCACCT